CGTAGTCCAGAATACGAAGCTTGGCGGGGCCAAGACGCTTGTGGCCGTGTACCTGGTACACGGAACCGTTACCCTTACGGCAACTCAGAATAGTCTTACCCATTGTTTCGTAAGCGAGGTAGCGCACTAAGATGTGAAGGAGGGATTAAAATCAATTCAGAAATAGAATGGGAAAGGGAGAGTTCATAAGTATGGAATCATTCAGATGGATTATGGTAATATAGTCATAATGAAATTGATAACTCTGGATAGAAAGAGCTTCAACTGACGAAAAAAATATATCATTTTCACATTGTATCGTGCCTTGGCTACCTTACACGAGGAAAACATCCGTACCACACAGTTTCTAAAAGGAAAAACAAACATTTGTATAAAAAGACGTGTAGAGAGACTCATCAGAAGAAACAAAAAGTCATAAATAGTTTGAATGATGAAATCATAATGCTCATATTTTTGACGTACAGTCTTAACAAATAGAACGTAGAATCTTCTACCTTAAGATTAGTATCATGCCCAGTACTACATTTCCTATTCATAAAGGCTCAATTTCATGATTTCGCTCCCTACCTCCTTGGCTCGCGCGCATCCAAATTCTTAGCAAAAGTTTATCTAGTCATGAGTATTGCTGGCTATAATACCATTGTTTCCTTTTCTGGTCGTGGACTGGGTAGTGAATCAGAAAACCCTCATTTAAAGTAGCGCCGCTGCAGAGATGTATGTTTCTCTTTAGTTTTGAAGGATTCAACTGGCTAAATTACGGGTCTCGAATTCATTGCAAGATTCATCCCCATTAGCTGCGTCCACTCGCTGCGCATCCTTTTCCGATGTTCTGTTGTCTTCAGAGTCAACATTCGACACAGTAATTAGTGGGAATACTAAAAAAGAGTTCATCACCTTGAGATCTTCAAGAAAATCAATGAACTCCTCCTTATTCGCAATGTAAAACCCAAACAACATGCATGGATCAAGTTTTTCAACACTGATCGTATTCCAATTTCCGACTAGATTCCCTGCGGTTTTTTCAGAAACGTATGCCTCTTGTATATAATGCGGATTCAGATAAAGTACTTCCCGCTGCTGACAACCACACAGGTAGTATGAGGCATGCCTATAGCCGCCGGCAATGCCACACAGGGATTTCATTTTCAAGCAGTGTAGTAGGGCCTCTTCGTACCTATCACCAATTTTATCAATGCCAAGAGCTACAGGTATAAGCAATACCACAGGTTCTGGTCTTTCCAAAATTGGCAGAATTGTTTGCGTAACAATGTCCCGATCAATGCAACACACCGGGTAAGGGCCTCTACCGCTCTCTTCATAGTACTTGAGAAGGGTAGCATGCATTGCTCTGCACACCTGTGTAGGCGAAAGCCACATCCCACAAGCAACCCCAATCTTACGTGCCTCCAGCTCTAATTGATGGATGCTAAAAGGGGCAGTTGGTGTATCCATAAACAGCGGCTGAGTCTGCTGTCGCACCTTTTCGACTTCAGCGCTTGGTATGAACGAACTACAGTGAGCATTAAACCGCATAAGGACTTGACCAAGGACCATTTGCCCAGTGCGGAGCAGACATCCCCAACCAGAATCCGTTGTGCTGCCATTGGGTAGTTGGCTGAAGCAGTTTCTATAAGAAAAGTATAGCAGGCGATGTACGCCTTCTGTAACAAACACACTAGTGTTACTACCCGTGTATTTGCCCGAACCGACTAGGAACGTTTCGGTGGAGTCACTTAACATAGGCTTTGATTTTCTGAGCAATGAGATAAAGTTGTAGTATACCTTTAACAAGCTTCCAACGTCATAATAGGGTAGCTTCCCGACTGTAGTATCCTCCGTTTGGGGCATTTGCTTCCCCTGTGCCTGAGGTAAAACTATACCTCCTAGCCACTTTTTAGGAGGCTCCTTATGTTTGATAGGTAAGATGAATGATTAAAGAAGAAAAAAGAAATCTATATAATTTTCTAGTAGTAAACTCAATCGAATTCACTCTAAAGCATTTAAGAATATCAATAAACGAGAGAAAGATGCATAGCACTACGAGGAATAATAGTAAGTTAAAACACACTAACACTCCTCCAGGTTGCTGCTCACTACACGCCCATCCGCGTCTCCTGTCAAAAGAGTTACGCTGCCCAGCGCAGACGCACAATTTATCACGGACGTTGGGGATTCTGCACACTCCCGGTGGTCCAGTGCGCATTGAACCTTTGGGAGCTCCCCATCGGTTTCCGCATTATCGTCACCTAGCAAAAAACTCGGTACATCCCACACCGTGATCTGCCCACACAGAGAAACCGTCAAAAGGGAGCCGTTGGAGAGGAAGTCAACATGGCATAGGCCGTTAACCGCGTGCCCAGGTGCTGTCATCAGCTCCTCAACGCCTTCTCCCTCCGTCACTTCGCAAACGATATAGGTTCCATCCGCCCGGCCAATGGCGACACGACCGTCTCCACCAAAGCCGCAGCAGTTTGCCAAGGGGGGATTGAACAACGTCGACACTTCAGCGATTCCCAGATACCCCAACGTAAAATCACGTCTTTCGGTCGGTGCAGGGCCTGAGAGGAGGCAGCCCCTGCCGTCCATGCCGAGCGAGAATAAAGCCCTTCTGGCAAGGCCTTTCCCCTCAGTTCCCTCCATCACCAGGCCGAGCCCAGAGCTATAGTTAGATAACGAGCCAAAGCCGCCGTCAATGAGCTCTATAGGCCTCCCAAAAACAAACTCACCCAAAAGGTGAGATTTGCGCATAGCGATCAGGTCAAGGGGCATGATGAAGCCCTCTTCATCCACAATGAGAGTCGAACTCCGACCCGGCGGATGGGCACCTCCAAGAAAACGCACAACTTCACAGGAATGTGAATCAGATGCAACGACGCCTATCTCAGTTCGTATGTCAAAAAATTGGATGAGGTTGCCACACAGTGTGATGGCCAAATGCCGATCTGGCACAAGGAGCACCTCTCCTGCGTCCACGTCGCCCACAGGATTGGGGATGCACATGTGCATTGCTTTCTTTAGTCGCGTATCCCAGAGGGTCACGCTCCCATCACTACCCAAGGAGGCGAAATTCATATCATCCGCGAAAGAGCTGGTTAGGGACATTACGCTACCCTGCTGTTGACCCAAGAGAACCATTTGGGGGAAATGAGAAATCACTTGGGGTTACTACTATTATGGTTTAGAAGGTATTATCAGTTTATGTCTTTACTTAATGAGCCATTGAATAACTGCAGTCAGCTTTAGATTATTCTTTGGAGACTTAAGGAAGAAAATATCTCTTTTTGATAGGTCGGAAAAATAGACTGGATTGGGAGAAATATCGGACACCTATAGGAGGATAGGACAAAAAAATTGAGCATCCCCTTCTCTTTTCTTTGTTTCACTCTTAGGAAATCTAGTTAGCACAGTGGAAATTCAAAGATTCTTCAAAAATAATACAAACTATGTGCTTGATAATTTTAGCAAAAACATATCTAACATCTTTTAAGCTAGAAAGAAGTATATAAAAAAATTCCTCGTCATCTTCAGATTATTTAAAAGAATAAATGTATGAGTATAAATGTATGCCTAAGCCTCAAAGAGGATCAAACAGCTAAAAACGACAGATGTCACGCGTTTTACGCACCTATACGCGTATTGGAAAATGGAGTGAAATAGGAATAACAATTTATGAAAATTTTTGTAAGCAAATTGACTTACCTTGATGTTTAACATTATCAATACTTATCATGGAGCTATTTAACAACTAACAGACATGTTGATAATCCCCACTATTCGATCGGATGAGAGTTGTGAGTTTTTATTTTGCTTTTTATAAAAGTCTAGACGTACGAACCAAAAGAAGAAATAATGCTTAAAAACATCAAGTATCGTTGGGTATCGATTTTCAAGTATAACGAAAATAGAAAAAAGGCCGTCAAAATATCTAAGGTGAGATTAGTCAGAATTTAATTTTCCATGTTCTTGTCACCTCCCCTTCTTGATAGTTGTGCATCAAAGACCATATTTTATGGAACGCAGGTTAATCCGAATAATACCTTAACTGCCTCATCAACGTTGCCATCCATGGCACGCAGTGCAGCCTTGACGTCTTGCTTAGAGGCCCCCATAGCTATAAGATGTTGAACGTTGGGGTCTGCCGTGGTATAGTTCTTATGCTTACAGACGTGCTGTTGGATCTTCTTGCGGTTGATGCCACGGAATAGCCGTGCAACGGCACGTTCGACATTACCATCGTAGTGTGCTAGAACCAATCGAGTATCAGCTTCAGAAAACCCAATCGCAACAATTGCCGTCACCTTAGCTTCGAAGTCCCGCTGCAGGCGTTGTACCTCCATCTCCCGAAGGGCCTCAGCTGCCTCATACTCCTCATGCGTTCCGATAGCGTAACTAAGCTTCTCGATGCATTCCAACTGTAATTCTTTCTCATTGAGCTTCTTTGTGATCGCCGCCACCTCAGCCTCAGAGCAGCCGTAAGACCTGAGTTCACCAACTGTGATGCGGCAAATAGACGCGACGGAGTTGATATCGGATCCCAGGAAGGCATTGACCACCTTTGGGCGGACCTTTGCAGACATCATCAAATTGATAAACGCAGACGTCTCGCGCTTGTCGACACATTGTTCTTGAATGCTAGACACCATGGCGAGCGCACGCTCATAGGTGTCCGCATCGGCAGCGACATCTAAAAGAATGTCTATATCCATGAGCGGAAACAAATTGCTTATGTCCTCCACCCACATAATCCTCTCTCCGGGCAAGCCGTGGGCACAGAGTGCTGCCTTCGCTTCACACTCCTCACGGAAGCGTTTAAGTTCAGCGATTCGTTTGGCGCGTTCGGCACGCTTTCGCTCAAGATACTTCTTAGCCCACCTTGACAAGTACCACTTACAACGTTTGATCAGCTGAACACGACGGCGCACCACCAAACGCTGGAGATCGGACCATACTTCAGCCCTAAGAAAGACCTTGGTCTTCCCCATCACGAAGCTAGGAGTCTTCCATCGGTAAATTCGTTCGTTGTGGCTAAGGAACTCTTTACATGCTTGACTGTAGTTTCCACTTTTAAAAGTCTGCACGACCTTCGGTGGCATGACAAGGAAGAAGTAGCAGCAGAAGTGCTCCAGCGGGCGACGCACAGGATAGCCCTGACGTTTGAGAGAGATGGTTTGCAGCACACCTGCAGATTCTAGCTGAGAGCTAACAAGATAATTTTCCATTAAATCCGGTCTCGCCTGCATATTCGGTTTGATACAACGAATAAACTGTGTATCAGTCGACTCCAGGCTGATGCAAAGCTCATCTAGTTGAGTCTGGAAGCGGGTGGCTATTGTCTTTTTCTTACCTGATTGCGCTTCTTCATTGGAAAGCAACGTGGCAATGAACTCATCGTTTGAGGATGCGAGCGCCTCATACATCGTTTCTTTTAGTGAATCCGAGTTTTTTTCCGTCCAGCCCTCTGTGTTGTAGTTCACGAAAGCAGCGTAGTGTTTGATGCCAAACTGGTTTGGTATGGTACTCTTGGGAAGAACAAAGTACGGGCTCCGGCCTTTCCAGTACCTCCACAAGTTGCTGGTGAAGCGATTGGACGTGCCACCCTTGAAGTTGGACTCCTCATTAATCATAGGGAAAATTCCGTTAGGGGACTCTTTAAAGAGCCTAATACACTCTGTATTGTCCGGGAAAATCACCTTAGGGAGCTCAATACCTTCTCTTTCGCATTCCTCCTCATCATTGATGAAGGTATTCTTGTTATAATAATTCTGTAACGTTTCATTCGCAAAGTTGATACACAGCTGTTCAAAGCTGTTCTTTTCAAAGTTCTCAAACCCAAAAATGTCGAGGAGACCAATATATTTGCAGTTTACAGAAATTTCCTCAGGTTTGATGGATTTGTTGACAAATTCCACAATCCGATCAAACAATCCAAGGTAGAAGCCCTTGCAGAAGGCGTTGCGGCAGAACTCCGCCTCAACCTTGGAGGAATAAATTGTGACCAGGTTGGACTTACTCTTGACGAGGAAGCAATTTGAAAGTAACTCCGAGTCTATTCTCAATAGTGTGCATGCTTTGAGGAAGAATTTTTCGTTCACGATGTAGGCTTGGTCATTATCATCCATCTCGAATTTCACTTCCATCATAAACAAGATTGACGCCAGGACGCGGAATATGCAATTCACAATTTGGTCTGGGATGCCGATATTCTTCATCCCACGACGTACCCTCATGAACTCCTCTGCATCGTTGATCGTGGTACCGTCAACACCACGGCGGGTGAAAGTATCGCCGCCGCTGAGGCAACGGTAGTCCTTAGCATTCTTAAGCCCACCGAGGCTCTGCTTCTCAGCGATGGAAAGACCAGCTAGCATCTCATAGAAAATGTGATAGTTGCGCTCGCCTTCAGATTGCGCAATAATGCGGCTCTTCTCAAGCAAGTAGGTGACCACCTCACCTCCAATTAAAATGCCTGTTGAGGTATCAAAGTATAGTTTGATATACTTCCCGAAGCGAGAGGAATTGTCGTTGCGCACAGTTCGGGCATTACCGAACGACTCCATCACGGGGTTGCTCCAAGTGAGGCTGTCATCAATTCTATCTGCAATGCTACGCTGCGCCGCAGTGTCGGAGTGCTCGCGGCTGATTTGGCCAAGATAAGAAATAAGGCTTTTGGTATTTTCTGTCTTCCCGGAACCGGATTCCCCCGAAATGATGATGGACTGATTGTTGAGGCCTAGATTTACAATGGCGTTGTACGCCTTATGCGAAACCTGCCAGATATGAGGTGGCAATTTATGGAAATCCGGTGAACTCATGTATTTTCGGCGCTCCTGATTGCTATTAAAATGCATAACTTGAAATGGGTTCACCGATAGTAGCATTTCACCCATTAGAGAGTACTGTTGCTTCTTTTCCTCAAACCGCTCTTTAATGCAATATAGAAGCGTTGCTACATGAAGATCGCTAACATTAAAAAGGTTAGGATCATCAGGGTTGTATGCATCTAGAATATAGCCGTGTATATGCTCAGATGGCACAACCTTGATCTTTTCCCCATCTTCACTTACCACCGAAATACTATTACCTTTGATTTTCTGAATTGTGCCTCGTGACCAACCAATTTGGGGCTCGAAATAGTACACTTCTTGATTAACAGCAATGTGTTCAGAGGACATTTTGACTTACGATTCCTCACTTTTGCCTTCTTCAACGTTATATAGGTGAACAAACAGGGATAATTTCTAAATAAAAAAAACAATCTTATTAGCTTTTCTGTTGTTGATTAGTGAAAAGAATACCACCTTATGTTTAGGAGAAACATGAATAGAATGCTTTAGAGATATTCATATAAAACGCAGAATGCGAAAACATATAAAATCGGAAGAGTGCTAGTATGCAATCTTCAAGATCAGAACCATGTAGCTAACCGGTCAAAAGAGTATCCCAGACGGATAATAGTTCCTCCTATGAAAGAATATAATATGGAGGAAACGATTTAATTCACTTTTCAAATTAACACTTGACAAACGTGATGATAACCTCTCAGATCATGTATCGAGATGAAATTTTATGTGCTTAGATGTTATATCCGATAGCATGATTCTTTTATATAATTTTCAGTTTTGCACAATACCAGGCAACACTCTAAAGAATAAATCTGCCAAAATAACACCCCACAAAAATGTATTACATTAAATAGGTAAAACACAACTCAGAGCAATTATATATTAATCATCCCTATAAACCCGAGTAGAACTGGTGGATTATACCATTTCTACTATTACACTCCGCGAATTAATAGCTAGTGCAACGTGCGAATCTCATTTAGCTTGTGGAACATCAAGTGGAAAATGACACTCCTGAATCCTTTTCCATTTGTCACTTTTCTCCGATGTTCCCAGAAGAAGTGGAGCCGCGAAGTGCGCAAATATGTGCCCTTGGGATGTGTTTGATGGAGCTTGTTCAACACATCATATGTCTCAGGAACGAGTGCGCTTCCTCAGGATCAGAACGGTCAGACTACCTTTTTTTCCCCTATATTTTCTTTCCTCTAGAATACAACAGAAATGATTCTGTTATTCAGTGAGTACTGTATTGTTCAAATTACAGAAGGAAAAGAAAATCAAAAAGAAATACCAAATCTTTTTCCTCACGCTATTATAATGAGATGACCGCTGTAAACCCAAAACGAAGCCATATTAGCTGTTTGCACAGAGAAGAAAACCAAAACAAAAGCAGTTCTGAAATAAACGAAAGATTTGAAGCAGTCAGATGAACCTGACTCGATGCAGGGGGGTGACCCTACAGCGTAAGCTGTCCAGAGCCCAGACACTCATCCCTTCATACAAATAGAGGCAACAGATGAATCCGCCCTAAGGGAAAAGAAGATAAGATTCCCTGAATTAGAAAGGCAAAGGCAGATCGATTTAAAATAAAAAGTAGTGAATCGGTGACAAACCAATCTGCAAAAAAAAAAGAGAGAAAGAGGGGCATCAGAATGAAAAGAATCAGATATTCTTAACCCTGCATCTTCCCACCTTCTATCGACACCGTTAGCGAAACTTTTGTTGCATTTGCAGCCTACGGATGTATAAGCTGTCCGCCGCGGAGTTATTTTTAAAGAGATCCGATATACTTGCCACCCATTGGGACACCTGCTCTTCTTCCTGCTTACTCGCTAGGATATCTTTCGACTGAATGATGCGAGTGCTGGCAAGCGAGGCCCTCGGGAGTTTAGTGTATCGACGCTTCGCTTCTGCTGCCTGCTCGGGCGTTGGCAGCGCCTCAGGCATGCTAAAAGCCTGTCGGTATGCAGCCAATACCTCAGGGGTTACCTCGGGCATTTGTTGCTGGGCATGGAACGCCTCCTCGTCGTGGCGCAGCGAGAGCTCCTCACATTTCTGAGCTAAGGACTCTTGTAGGCGCTGCTCGAAGAGCTTCATGGCAGCCGCATCAAGAGCATTCTCAGCCTCGGTTAACTCGTCGGGTAGGGTGAACATGAAAGGGATGACAACTAATGGAAGGGTACCCGTACCAGGGGTATTGACTGAATGGTGGTGAGTGGCGACATCCGTTTTGCACGACCGATTTGAGCGCGTCTTGCGCTGGGGAGTGGGTGTCATGACGATATGATCGCACCGAGGCCGCAAGAGCGCGCATGGACCGATATTAGACTTTTCCAAATTCAAAGGAGGGTTCACAATGCCTTGAAGCTCGTAAGGGGTGTCCGCGAGAACGCGAACGCCACAGACAGAAGCGCACGACATCCCCAACGATTTGATGCGTTGGATGGCTGCCTCCATCATCTCCACCTCGTGCGGGTTTACGATTTGCCGCTCGGGGTTTACGACAAATACGTACCGTCCACGCTGATAGCCCTTTAAGGAGTCTAGATAGGATATCGGTACACGCACATCCAAAACAATCTCCTCATGTCGATAGTTCGAGCTTGAAAATAGGTTATTGTTATTGCTCTGGTGGGAATGGCAAGGGGAGGAAACACCCTCATCATTGGTCCGGCAACGCTTCAGTTGTGGTTCACTTTCGTTTTCATGGGATACGCTATGCCCGTTGGATGTGGCTTCCCCGATGCGAGTGGGGGGATCGGTGCTGCATGACAAGAGTTTGATGATAGAGCACTCGGCCATTACATGCGCCGACGAGGACGGGTCGATTCCCACCACCCGCACGACCTTATCGCTGAGGATGCCGGACGGCTCCCACGCCGGGCACGGCACCGGCTGCGAGAGGTAGAACAGCTCACCCACCATAGCCCTGGCAACCGCGAAGTCAGCAAATCGATCCGAATCCGCAGCACCGACATCCAAGGCAGCAGAAGAAGTCTCACCGTTCCTCAGCAACAGCTTGGTGGAGGGTTTCACAACGTCTGCTAGAGCTCGAATCATGCGGAGCCCCCCGTCCGCTACGAGGACGTGGAGACCATCCGGGAGCCTAACAAGGTTGCGCAGCTCTCCTCGATCCATTACGTCGACGTGGTTGCTGACAAAGGTTCCATAAGCTCCTTCCATTTTTTCGAAAAAGCCCGGTTCATTCATATCGACAAACTCAACGCCTGGGAAGTCTTCCTCGGCAAAAAGTGGCGGCATGCACTTGGTGGGGTCTATGATCTCGACCCTTGCGCCAGGACGAAACAGGCCCTGTGCAGCAGCCTTCCGCTGCTGGTGCAAAGTGCGCTGCATTTCCACTTTCACACGTTCCTTTTCCGCCTCAGCACCGAGGAGAACTGTGCCAAGAAGCTGAGCACGTAACTCTCGCTCTAGGCGCCTACACGCGCTGCAGACCATCGTGCGGTGCTCCAGGGAGTGCTGATGCTGCTGCGCCTCAAAACACTTGACCTGCAGGGGCCCAAGGCACCGGCTGCATTCCGTCACGTACTCCACCTCACAGGGCAGCTCCGCATCAACGCAGATGCCCTTGAAGACGTGGTGCACGGTCCCATAAATGGGTTCAAGGGTTTCCTTGTCAAGACCTAGCACGATCGAATGGGAGCAGCTCAGCGGGCGCTCAATGATCTGAAAGCAGTCACAAGGCTCGGAGCAGGTTTTCAAGCAGCCGTGCTCGCATGTCATCCTTGACTGGCAAGCAAAGGGGCAGGTGTCATGGCGTATAGCAGGGTGGCAGGGCTCCCTGCAGACGTGCCCTGCCTTGCCGCAGTTGTACTGATGTAGGCAAAAACGCCTGCACGTGGCGACAATCGGCGTCAAGCCGTATTCAATCTGCCTTTGATTAGGGTGGTGTGCGCAGCAGAGGGGGATGCCCGAGCCCACCAGCGTGGGTAGTAGCATTGTCCTTCTTTTCTCATCGCTCAAGTCGATGGTTTCAGACATAGAAATGTGAACTTGCTCGTCTTGGAGTTTTTCCAAAAAGTTCTTCCACTGGGGCCACTTTGTTGTGAACACAGAAGCCTTCCATCCTGCGTCCATGAGGAGGACAAATCCATTCTGTGTGGCTTCAAGAGCATCACCAATGAAGTCCTCTTGGCTCATAGCTCTTGAAAGGAGCCCTTGACTAGCTGGAAGTCCGAATACATAGAGAACAGCTTGGTACATGTATTTGGTGTCATCCCGACGATTGATAGCCGCCAGCTCGTGGTGAGCCAAAACGACCGGCAGTGGAACTTCCCCTTTGGATCGGTCCCTTGCCGTAGTAAGCAGCTGCCGCTTAACCACTGTCTTGAGCTCCAATGGAACGATTATTGCAATTTTTGTGACCTCAACGTTGTTATGCAGAAACCACTCGACGAGGTTGCACAGTTTTAGCATCTCTTTTTGGTTGCACATGGCATTTTTGTCATCACCTTCTGAGGTTTGATGCGTCCATAGCCACAACGGAGACTGTAATCCAAGTTTATATGACAGCAGAGCAGCCTTCGCTGCCTTGGGACCGTAGAAAAATCTAGTAATGGCATCCTCTAGACGAGAGACAAGGGATGGTTTTTTTGCTTTACCATCACTGTTCATTATACCCACCATCCCCCGAATAGATTCCTCCAGGTAACGATTATGTGTAGTTGTTCTCTATTTACGAAAATGGCAGAAAGAGGATAAACTGCTGGTTGAAAATTTAACATCGGGTGAAAAAAATGTGAACATGTGCAATAATACAAATATACAATTAGTATGTACGAATTTTACATAGTTTTCAGATTCACTATCCTGTGTAGATACACACCAAATGTGATTTCGTTGTACAACTGATTAACTTATCCGTTGTTTTTAGAGAGAAAATAGACAAAATATATGTCACCCTGTGTTGAACGCGTACGATAACTTGATTTATATTTGCATATATATATATATATATATATATATGAAATATAAAACAAAGAAAGGTGGTACCTGATAGATAAGATTTAAAAAAAAGTTCTAATTGTGAGGAATGCAGTCATTATAATCGCATTCACCAGAGAAACAACGAAGGCTATTATATTCCATGACTTTTGATCCATACACTCTGTGAGTTCGAGGCTGAATCTCTGATGTCAGAACCCTCATGTGCATGAAAAGGTTGTTAAAATGCAACTTATTATCGCTCTAGCGCTTCATTAGCTTCTCGTAGCTCTTCGCTAGTGATGGCGATAGCGAATAGTCTGTATCACCATAGCCCATAAGATCAGTGACAGCGTAACGATCAAAAATTTTGTCGGCCTCGCCACCCGCCTGTGTGGTCGTTTCAACCGCACTGAGATGTGCCACTAACGCATCAAGAATCTCCTCAGTTTTTTTCACTCGTTCTGCAAACCAATGAATTTTTGCGTTTTTTTCCTTCACCAATCCTTGCAATCTGACTATTTCCTCCTGTGCTTCAGCTAAAATCTGTTTACTATTGTCGTAAGTCGATGAGTGTCTGAAACTTAAAACACAGCCATCGCGGTCAGGCGCTTCCAACTGATTCTGATGCAAACGACCGGACACCTCTAGAGCAATTGGGGCCTGTGCTACCTTACCCGGATCACTCTCCATCAAAGGTGAGCACAAGTGACCTAACTGCTGCCTCAACAGCCTGTTGTCAGAAAGGAGTTTTTCTATCAACTCTAGACCACCACGCCTAGAAGCGTTGGTACTATCGTGAAGGCTCAATATTCCCATGGACAACTGCATCATAAGAGCATTAGTTTTCTTCAGCTCGTCATGTAAAGCCATGTTTTCCTGTACTAAATCGTTTGGCGATTTCTTGAGAACCTCATTGAACTCTGCTGAGTGCTTTAATTCAGACTTCATCCTGCACCCGCTGTCTATAGATGCAGGTGATTCGGCGCTCGACGTGCGACTAGTAAATGAATGTTGGTCTGTGACGCCCTCTGTCAAGGTGCGAGCACAAGATGAGACTGCATACTGTGAAGCTGCATATGCATCACGATCAATTGGTAAAGAATTCATGCACGCCGAGGTGGACCCATGGCATTTTGAGCAATTCTGCATCAAGGTGAGAGCTCCACACTCTGTGCATCGTCTTAGGTGAGACATAATTGCTGAGTATTTGAAAAAGAGAAATTTTCTATAAAAACAAAACTTCAATTGGAGTAATGCACTTCCACATTCCAGAAATTACACTGTCTACATGCCTTTCCAAAAGAAGTATCAATTGTAGAATAACAAGCGTAGCGCAAGAAATATAAGAATAGCATCCTGGGGTAAGAATAATCCAAACGAAAAATCATCGATCTCGTGTATCACTACTGGGCAAATCCCAACATTCCTGTAATTCGGGTCTCCCTAATTCTGTCAAATCACTCCACATAGTGAACCCTTTGGAAACAGACCATGAGAAAAGGTAGGAATTCAATCATTCAAATCCATCCCTAAGATTTGAAAGGAGTCCCTCTAGTGCTCATTTCCTTCTGCTACGGAAGCACCCGGCCCCCCACACTCATTTCCTCTTAAACTGGCAAGGCCGAAACCGCTGTGATAGTGTCATCCCGCATCAGAATACCTCTCTTCAAGACCCAAGACTACCTGGGGAAGAGAGGAAGTGGAAATGGAGAGTCAAAAAAAAAAACCTTTCGGCGGCAGACCGGCTTCGGGGCCCACCCCGGAGGTATCCCAAAAGCAGAGCTTGGCTCGACTCACCTTCAGGTCGCTCCCACTCCACCTCGCTCTCTCAGACACACATGCATACACCTACCAAACCCTCTCAGGACGCAGGAAAAACAAAGGGGAGGAAGGGTGGAAAGCTAAGTCTTTTCATGTTTTGGTAGGCTCTTCATTCGCCATTTTATGGCGCACCGTGAATGCACCACTTCAGTTAGTTCCAGCAGTTGAAGGCATGCACAAAATTGCAGTAGATATCAAAAAGTCGATAATGCACACAAGGAAGAGGTTGATGCGCTCCTGTACTGCGGGGGAGTGTTTAAATGAGTTCTATGGAATCCTCGGAAAACCTTCACCAACTTTAAGGATGCGCATAATAATGAAGCATAGCAAAGATTCAGTTATGTGAAACAACTTTAGGTCAAACTTCAATCAAGTGACAATGGTAGAGGAAGAGTATGCTCAATTGCATCAAAAGGAATTCCTCCATGTGTGCGATATAGCTGTCTGGGGCTTAGTCATAACTGGATCACGATATTAATTGAGACGAATTCAAAAGGAAATTTCTCCATCAATATATAAGCATATATATAATTGAAGAATACGAACATTTTTTTAATACAAATATTATTTTTATTACAAAGATTGATGCGTTTCATTTGTTGGCTCAAATACCCAATATCAAAATTGGGACAAGCACAGCAAATAATTTTCGACCACAGTAAATCTCCAGTGAAATATAGTTTTACAATGGAACAAATACAACCGCATACCAATACTACTTGACAATTGCCCGTATTATCTTATCTATTGCTTAATCATACTTACTTATGATAGAAAAAATCATAGTTATGAGAACTGCACCAATTAGCGCGATATCCATCGCAAGGTTGATGTAGCTCTCAACCTCGTGCTTTTTCAGATCTCTCCACAAACTCGTCGCATCAACATATTGACCGCCCTTCCTCAGACGCCAAATGAAAAAGATGAAGGCCGATACGAAAAAAAAGGTCGACAGATAACTTCCAAGCCACACGGCCTGTACTATTTGGAATATACGAACAACCAAGTAAACATCCAACAATGGGTTACAAGTGCGTTCACACTCCATCGCACTAGTCTGTTTATCGCCATAGTCATAGATGCTGAACGAGTATATGATGGTGATGATCATCTGTGCCATTTGGACGAATAAGAGAGCGATCCAGCCACTAATAAAATGGAGAAGGTGGCAGCAGAAGGCGATAAAACTCACAATGTACACCGCGACGAAGAGGTAGGCACGCTTGCGTTCTGTAGCGGAACGCTTAGATGGGTTTAACAAGGTCCCTATGACCTCCTTTTGGCATTCTAGTATACGCATATATGAACGCTAGATTTTTGTTATCGTCAGAAGTTTAATATATAAAAGAATGTGTGTGTGTGTGTGTGTGTGTATGTAGAGTCAGGAGCACTTGTTGCACAAATATTTTCGAGACAGAAGGTAGTAGGCATACATGGTGCAGAGATGGGAGGGGGAAAATCAGCATACTACAAGCATAAATAAATCAAAAGAAGCGTGAAAAACAAGAATATGACGCAATCTTATTTAGCCGTAAGACAATCTGACCTTTCAAACGCATCGAAAGGTTCCACTCCACTGTTGTTCTTTTTTCGTCCAGATGGTGTTCCCATATTCCTTGTTTCAGAAGTGCAAAAAGGAGAAGTAAAAAGGTCACTCCATCCCGATGAAGCAATCCCTACAATTTCAGCCTTGTTTCACTACCTTGCATTTCTACTCGCAAAGAGTCGTCATCATTCGTTAAACGCCCACCATGTTAGACTCCGCGCTGCCGTAACAACGAGGCTGTAGCGTGGATTGACTGCTAGTGCGATAGGTACATCGCTGTCTTTCGACTGCAACTCATAGCGCAACAGTCCAGACTTCATCTCCGATTGAAAGTCACCTTTGATTACCTCCTCTTCCCCTATTGATCCACTTTCGTTACCCTCGTACCCACCATACACGAGTAGATGTCTACCACCAACCATGGATGAGGTTGGCTGTGCGATGATCGAGTTCCGCAGATTGGGGTGAATGTATTTCGCCCCAATGGCATCCGAGGAGCCGACGAAGTGTCGCTTTGCGTCACCGTGGTAGTAGCTGCAGACAATCCTATCAAGCTTCCAGTTATACACGACTACTTCACCCGAAGAGGAAGTCAGCAGAAGATGGGACTGATCAATGCAGTGTTCAGCGCCCTTGCACCGCGCTAGCTCTGGGCTAGAGGAGAAGATCTTTTGATTTTCTAGACTAACAATTGGCGTCGAGAAGAGAACACGCCGGTCGAACAAGTTAATGCGGCGATCATCGCCTATAATGATGCGATTGCCATCGTGGCTGAATGACAGGGCAACCTTGCTTCCAATCACCGCCTTTTCGCCTGAGGCGGCGATGGCACCCGAGATCAGGGGGTGAAAAAGGGCAAGTCTACCTTTGGTCGTCACCACCGCCCCGAGCACGTCAGTGGCGGGGCACTGCGAGATGGTCGAATACACAGGCGTGTTCGGGTAGGGGTGGATCTCGCTATCCAGCTCGTTGAGGTATGCCATCTCCCCGAAGAACTGCGCTGTCTCCAGATTCAAAAGGTGCAGATGACCATCAAGGGGAAGACGCGGGGCGACGCACACGACGCTTTCTGATTGGGTATAGCGCACCGAGTGGATACCAAAATGCTCGCATTGAATGGTTTCGGTGTGGTTTAAAGATGCTACGTCGATCAAACGCAGCGCGTCATCGTTGTGGGATGAGATGAATGAAAGGCCTTCTAAAGAAAAATCCATACATGTCGGTTTGGGTTCATTGAGACCTGTGTAGAACATAGAGGCGACCTCTATGGGGAATCGCTGTTGTTCCCCGTTAGTATTTGTACCGTTACCCGTCATGGATACGCTATTGTGATGTCTATTCATTATAACTCTATTGTTCCATATGTTATCCCTTTAAAATGATTTATAAACCCCTAAAATGCAGCTTAAAAATGAAGGAAAACTGCTGAATGATTTCTTACAAAAGTGCGGGGTTTGGTATCTATGGTCAGTCTAGCATTCTTTACCAGTTTAACCCCCCTCAATCCTATTTTGATTCGTCAATTTACCCTTCCTTAAGCTTTAGCTAAAGGATGAGACTTTCATCGCCGTAAACAAAAGGTTCAAACAAATCTAGGGGAGAAACCCCATACTCAATGCCTGCATCATTATATTATATATGCATACCAAATGGGTTACAAATGCTGGATTATAAATATCTATTATTTTTATTTTATATTTTATAATGGGAGTCCAAGATTAAGCAACGTGAGCGGACGCAATGTTTTCTTTCCATCTTGGAGCAAACCACTCAATGGCAAAGCTCCTCCACGATTAGAGGAAGCAGGGATTTTAACTTCTAATGGTTCCGCCAGCGTGGAGTGAGCGTGTATCTCTAAAGCAATCTCTGTGAATCGATCATCCGCATTTGTTATGTTCATCCAATATCCAACCAACGGGTCGACAAATATCATGTTGAGGATATGCTTGTGCTCCGCATGCGCAAGTACATCGCGTACGCGCAGAAGAGCGCGTATAACGTACGTACGGCCTAGTAACAATCGTGTCCCTACTACAGCGAAGACCCTTTGCACCAACGCAAAGTGACGGCGTAAGGGGTAAATAAGAGCCCTGCGAGCAAAAGAGACACATGCATCATACAAATCTTCGGGTGGATCCAAGAAAGACAACGCAGGGCTTAGCATGCAGAGGTTCCACAACGACTCACTGCAACCGGTGCCCTCTGTTACAAGGTCATCGTACGCCTCAGTAAAGAGAAGGTCTGCGGTCAAGGCTGCCACAGACAAGAAAGGCGGCGGGAAAAGAAGCTTAGGGGGCTTAATACGGGTTATGGCGTCCTGTTCGTCTTTTGTGAGACGTAGTACGGGCCTGCAACGTGGAATGGCAATTTGAACACCAGGAGAGATAGATTGCGTCGTCGAACCAGGCCCTACCTTTACTACCTCTTCCTCGGCCACTGCGGGCGGGGTGGCGCCGTGATTGGAGGGGGAAGACGAAGCTGTGGCGATAGGGAGCACGGCCACCTCGTCTTCTGCGGGTAATTCAGGAGGCTTAAAATCTGCAACATTACCACTCCAAACTTCAAACAAGCCGCACCCGACCACGGCTTCGCACTCTTCTTCATATACCTCAGTGGCTGGAGCTCGCTGGTTGGTGCATGCAACGTCTTCTTTTACCTCAACTGCTTGAAGCGCAGTTTGAAAGTCCCGGATGTGGCTTGGAACGTATCTCAGCAGTCGCGCTATGTCCCCATCCTCATCTTCAAAATCCAGAAGAAGAACTTCCTCATCAAAGTTGTTGTTTTCTGTTTCGAGACGTAGACGGTGGCGCTCCTGCGGGAGAGTAGTTTCAGGCGCTGGAAGTGACACCATTTCCCGTACCAGGTCCACATCCAGATGAGAAAAAAGACCACTAAAATGGTTAGCGAAGCCATAGTGAATAGAATCAACCGCAACCTGTTCTAAAGAGGCAGTGTTCTGGAGTTTTTGAACGTATTCCGTCTCCTCAGCTTCGACAATGTCGACTGGGCCCTTATCTTCACAGGCGCCATCATTCGCATCGTTTTCAGTACTGTCGGCTGCATCAACGCTATTGAGCACCGTGATAAGCTGCTTTCGTTCCTTCTCAGTTGCTATCAAGTAGCCTGGGTTGTCTAGTTGAGCAAATACTTCCCCTTTCACATCCTTGGGGAGCCACACGGTAAGGGTGTTGGATTCGAGGTCATACGTTGCTCTCTCACCTTTTCCTTCCTGCAGTCCTTGATCGAACCGAAGACGCAAGTAGTATGGACTACAATGAAAAGTAAATTGATTCCCATTGATGTCGAAAGCCGCATTGGCTATTTTGCAGATACCTGAAAGTATCAAGCGAACTATAACGAAGTCGTCATCTTGCTCGCAATAAAAAACAGGAGTGAGCATTAAAAGTTGCCGTAAGCAGACTCACAGGCTCTTCGAAGCAATCATACGCCTTTATGATAATAGCACACTAATAGTGAAAACAATAATGCCAAAGAAAGAAAGAGAAAGAAACTAGATAGCCTTTTCGCTTCGAATGTGGACCTAAATTTTGTGTCACATACAAACATGGAAACTGATGTATAAACACGAATTGGGGGAAATACTCAGTATACTACTATTAACCGTTTTTCCTCAATAAATCACTTTCAAACGTTATAGGATTTCGTTGCGTTATAGATTTAGGTTCGCTTTTGAAATGTTATGATTTCCTCTAAAGGATACATTCAATAGTTTGTGATTTCGTAACAAAACGACAAACAAGAATAGAAGCTATTTCCTTTGACATTCGTCACCTAGGACAACATTGCAATCTCCCGTTCCGCTGCGGGGTTCTTCTTATCAGGTGAAAAATGTATAGCAGCCCTGAAGTCCGCTAGAGCAGCCTCCTTATTACCAAGAGCTTTTGCTACCAATCCTCTACGATAAAGAACCTTCACTTTCAAATCCCCCTCCAGGGGGAAAACCTTATCTTCTAGCATCATAGAAGCAACCAACGAGGCATCGTCGAAATTCTTCAGCCTAATGTAACACATCACGGCGTTGGCGCGAACCACCTGTCCAGCCTTCACGCCCTCAACATCGCGACTTCCCAAGGCATACGTGACGTCGATGCACTCCTGATACCCCTTAAGCGCGTCCTCGTAGCGTCCCTCTTGAAAGTCAAGATTGGCCTTCTGCTTGAGCATGTCGAGAAGCCGCATCGCCTTCTCCCGCATCTCGGGTGGAAGCACCTCGTCCTCTGGGGCTAAAGCCACCGGTGGGGGGGAAACGGTGTTCTTGGCGGAGGCCTCTGGGCTGGAAGACGCAGAGCGGTTTTCTTTTCGCCCAGAAGAGCCGAACCACGGGGTCGATGGAGGGCAAGAGCGGCGATGGGTGTAAGAGTAGAGCAAAAATCCGGCGATCCCCACCGCTGCCACACCAACACCTGCCACTCCTAACACTACATTTCGATGGTTTTTGAAAGTCATCTCAAAACTGTCTCTTTAAGGGGCCTCAACGAATTCAAGAAATTTATTTTCCCTTGATTGGTTTGAAATCAAAGAAGCAAATACACACGTGTGATTTTTTAAAAAGGAAACTATGGGAATAGATATTTGGCGTGATAACCTTGCTGGGATCAAAAATAAGCCTTTATAAGACGGCAACAGTGGGGGAGAACACTTACTTGTGGTTTGATATAGCAAGAAAGCTTATGAAAACAAGGCAATAGTATCATCACGAACACATTTGGAAAAAGGGAGAAAAATATTTCCTAATACATGGCAGAGGCCTTTTTTATGTCATCATGCTGCCTTCGCTCAAAATGAATAGGAAGGGTGAGTGGGTGCTCTAAGAGATCTAAAAGCAAGTAAATCCTATAAAAAGACAAAAAAATGAACAGTATCACAAAATAATGACAGCAGCAAACAAATACCTTGCTGGTTTACCTCATTCACGTTTCTTTTAATCAGTTAACTTGTCTTGTTAATTCAAGTTCTATAGTTCGCCCTTTTATCTGTGATATACTCTTCTTCCCGATGTATCAATTTGACTTATGCCTCTTGAAAAGAAGAATATGAGGCTCAGGTCTGTGTATCATGTAATGCATCCAACCCTGTGACTGCTGAACCCCCAACTGTCGCCATTCCGTCTCGCTCATCAACCTGTTTCGGGGTACCAACTTTGATAAGTCCTTGGGGAGAATAACATGGCGATACTCAAAGACATCATCGTAATACTTTTCACTATAAAGAATTTTGCATTGCAACTTCTTAATAATGTTCATTGCCTCAATCTGGCTCTTGGGGTCTAGAGAGAAATAATCTTGCTCCTGTCGCTGCGCTGGCATGATTGATTACGTCACTTTCACAGATGCTTTTTTTCAGTGATGTATATTTTTACCTTTGGGGAAAAGAAAAATCTGAGAAGCCTAAAGCTATTTAAGCAAACAAAAAGGTGCGGATAGACATGAAGATTCGTACAATAGAGAGCTACAATGCTTAACTGTATAAATTTTATCCGCCTTCCAAAATTTACTAATACGCACTGTTCTAGGTTTCATCATTTTTTTCACTTATGATACTAGCCTTCTTTTCCTTAATCCTAAAGAATTATATATATATAATCGATCAATGATTTCAGTCCTCTTCCTTCCAAAAAAGGTTATGACCCCATGCAACCTTCACTCATTGATCAATTCATCACCTTTCAAACAATGTTCTAGTCGGGTATATTGGGAGCTGAAGGGGCTAACCATTTTTAAAATGAAAATTGGAAGTTGAGGGAGAAATATATAAAAAAAAAAACATAAAAAAAACTCTATATTTTAGTAATCAAGTATGGGAAATGTGGCTTAAATTACTTAAACCATAATCCCGTATTTACCTATAACAAACGATAGACAAATAACAATGGCTTGATTACTTTGAAGCACTCACAGCGGCCTTCTTGACGGCCTTGTGCGCAGATGTCTTCTTAGGCTTCGCCACAGAGCTCGCTCCCTTGGAAGACAGTCGCTTCTTTGCCTCTTGCCAGCGCTTGGAGATCTCCCTCTGGCGCTCCTTCGGGGGGAGTGCGCTCAGCTGCTTGTTATATTGCTTAACAAATAGGCGGTACTTTTCAGCCGAGGGGTTGGGGTACCTTTTGGAACGAGCCACAAGTGCCGCCCGCTGCGATGGCGAGAGCTGCTTGTACTTCTTCACGATATCGGCCATCTTGAAGGGGGTCCCAGGCTTACGTTTGGCAGTCACATCCTTTAGGAAAAGGAAGTAGGGCGAGATCCTTCGGAGAACCGGAGTAGAGTAGAAGGACATTTTACTGTTGAAGTTAGCGATGAATGCTTTGAATAATAGGATCTTTTCGTAAACAAAAAGTAAGGAAGAAGAACAAGAAACAAGAAGAAGTAATACTCATTCTAAAATAATATTCCCACAAAAATTGTTCGAAAAATATAATCCAAAGGAAAGGGAAGGCTCACACACTCACATATTTTCTTTCAAATTTTTCATATAAAAAAACTTTGAAGCCAGTAAATAAAAATAGCACTGCGCCTTTTCCATCTGAATTAGTATTGTTCTGAGCGCCCTTTATTCATTTATTATTACTTCTTGTTTTGAGTAGAATAAACACTCACAAATAGGCAGACTTTCTCATCAAAGGCGTTCACTATTTCTTTGTTTTTCTATTTCATATAATAAAAGGTTTCTTCTATACTCTAGGGTATACTGATACGCAATAGGTTGCGTATTTCTAGATGCCTCTTCATATTTCGCTGTCTTGGATTTGCTATTATCTCTATAGTATTCTTAGTCCTATCGGTAATATTCACCTTTTATGCCTTGGCCGCTTTCGCCTTTACGGGTCGAGAAGAGGCTGCATTCCTTTTTACCTTGGCAATGATCTTGACAGTTTTTTTGGCGCCCTTCACCTTAGGTGCCTTGGGAATCCGAACGGTACCCTTTTCTTTTAGTTCAGCCCAGAGCTGTGCAACCTTTCGCTGTCGTTCTTTATTGGATAGGTGTAGAAAGCGGTGCGAGTATTCCTTCTGAAAACGATTATACGCGTCCAGTGCAGGGTAAGACAAGCTTCGGGCCCGTTTCACCAGCTCTGCCTTCTCCTCAGCACTGAGCTTCCTGTAGCCTGCCGACGCAATCTTGGGGGCGTTGTTGGTCCCAACTAGCTTGTTCTGGCGAGCGAGGTCGCGCATGTAGACAGAGAACGGGCTCACACGCCTCAGACTCAGACTGCGATGAAGCATCTCTGGGGGATATAAATCGTTATAAATTTAAAACCGATATGTATGTGGGAGCTGCTATGTAAGCAATGAGACCTATAGGTTCCAAAGCGAAACGGTACTTTGCTTTCAGAAATTTGTGTAGGTTGTTGGTGTTTCGACTGCTGTTGAGACTGTTTGGTTATGAGTATATATCGTCTTCGACTCTTTTAATTGCCTCAAATACCAAACCAAACGATCAAAAATAAAAAATAGACCGCGGAGGAAATAAAATTAACGTTTCAAAAACCTTGCGGCAAGCTATTCCGAGTCTTGGGCCATGGCCACTCGCACACATGTACGCATAGGGCCACTGTTCGTCACTATATTTCTTTACATGGGCTGGGGAAATGATAATTGAGAAAAAAAGAACGAATCATCAACTAGGTGACCCAAAATAAGTCGAGTAAAAAGACATATTACTTACCGGCCTTCCTTTTTTTATCATTTTTCCGTCGTATTTCAGGGATAACAATATCTTTAGGCACAGCCGGTAAATCCTTTGGGAAGAAAATTCCCCACGCTGGTGGCTCACCTAGGCTTCGGGCTCGAAGAAGAGAAGACTGCATCGACAGAAATCGCGAAACCACCTCGCATGCAGAAGGAAGTTGAAGACTGCTAAGAATCAAAAAAGAAGTGCCAGTTCCTACGGCTAGATCCACCACCGCCTCCGCGGGCCGCACGTGAGGCACCTGCACCATACTGATCGCTCGCCCCCCCATGCGGATGGTCTGGCCCAAACGCATTAACCGTGTAATCGAGCCGACGGTGTCTGGGCAGAGCGCAAGATTCTGCGACCAGACGCGCTGAATTCCAGCTGAAATTCGTTCCTCAAGGTCGTATTGCTTGTCTTGGCAGTCGTAAAGGCCATACCCGGACACTATCCCCTTCCAGTCATACTGCTCCTTAAGTATACCCTGCAAGCGATGCAGTCCTTCTTCATCCTGGGCGGTGTGGGTGTCTTCAAGATACACCAGCGTCCCACCCGCTTTCTCGACCTGTTGGCTCAGGTATAAGGCTACCTGTGCGCCCGTCACGTCGGTATCACCCGGGTGGAGCGAGTACATGATGTCGGGGGTTCCCCCCGCAGAGTGGTGAAAAGGTTTCTTCCGGGGACCGCTAGAGACTTGCTTCTTCCCGATAGATGCTTCCTTAAGTCCATGGGTGGCAAAGATCGTCCCAGTGCTTCCTTCCGGTACGCTGCGCTGCACCTTGGGGCATTGCAAGCGCACTCCAAAGCACACCTCCTTGCCGGGTTTGATACCTACCTGTTGCAGTACCTCGCTGGCCAGGGCAACCGCATCTACTACACTTTCTAAAGGGCAATCCAGGATGTACGCACCATCCTCACGTACTGTTGGCAAGGCCACAGTGGCATGAGAACTTGTGTTGGTGCCGCGACGCTTTGCTAACACTCGGTAAGCAGACCCTATTTTACATAATAGCTCTGCGCTCACTACACGGTCGCGCTTTATATCTGATACAGAGGTGGCTGATACGCCAGGGAGGAGGTAGAGTGTGTGGATGTAAATGGAACCCGTCGCCGTGTGCCGATCCAACACACTCCCGAAGAAGGGAATCACAAGCTGCGGCATGAAAAACAGTGCGTCCGCATCAAGGGTAACTGGATTGCAGTTTATAATGTCTTCAGCGAGCAGCGTCTTCAGGTAAAGGGCACGGATATGCTGATACAGCGAAAGGCGCATACTCTTTGCGGCTGCAATAGCTGCTGCCAGACTGAGTACGTGTGAAGGCCAGGTAACGGTATCCTTGCCTTTTACGACAACCGCATCCCACTCCTCCTGCGCGCTGCACCCGATTTGTTGAAGCTGCGGAAGAAAATCGTGTGCCAGGTGCTCTATGAAATTAAGCGCGATTACATGATGATCGGTATGGCTAGAATTTGCAGCAATGGCGCCCTCATCACGCTCTGCACCCTGTGATTGAGGACCAATCCGCGTCGTGGCTGTGTGCGCTTCCACATTCGTAAAGAGCCGCAGATGCAGTCCAACACCGACCTCACCTTCGGGAGTCAGAAGCGGTTCGCAGTAGAGTTCCTCCACTGCATCACCCCGACATGCCTTCACAAAGTACGAAGCAAGGTATTCCTTGGGCTCTGACGCATGCACATCTACACACGCACGGGCAGCATCCGTAAGTAGTTCGGATAATTTGTACTGTTCGTCATAAGTTCTCCAAGATATACAAGCAGACATTTAAAAACGTGTTTCTATATTCGGGTACATACAGGTTTATTTTTCTGATTTGTTCTGCACTTGGCTTAGAATTTTACTACCTTATTTTACAATGTGCACCGGAGTACCAGCTTTAATCCGAAAAACACGTAAGTTGCAATGATGGATTCACCCGTAAGAAAATCAAAATATGGAAACGTAGGAAATCATGATTAAATTGAACGATAAAGATTTTGATAATTTTGCATGATACATTAATTATATATATATATATAGAATAAAATGTGTTTCTCAGACTCATTCATATCAATGTATTGCATTACGCACTAGAGCACGGGCTCAGATGTATTTGTGATGCAATGCTAAACGCAATAAAGAAACTAGTAGGTGTACAAAACTAAAGGTGAACTTTCCACTTACTCATGAATCGAGCTCGGTATCCCGACCCCTCCTCACACAGTGTGACACAGCCGTGCCTCGTAAGTCAGTTTTCCAATAGAAGATTCAAACGCTCCATGTACTTTGTGTGTTCCATAAACAATAACCTCACGTAATCAGCCGTACAGCTTAGAAATCCTCTTAAGGACTATCAATGCGCGTTAAACGGGGGCTCAAGAATGCTTTTGACTTGGAAAAAAGTGGTATATTCACAATCAGTAGGGACGTTACTCTGCAAATAATCCTTCACGATTCTCGGACACCACATGAGGTGGACATCATGCCACTCCTCGTTTGACCGACTGCACTCGCGTACTACCGCAGTGCGATAAACACCTCAGCAGCACAGCACACCCCGTGAAGGATCCGATTGGGATTCCATTTAAACTGCACTACTTTTGTCGCAGACGTGCTCGCGATAGTACGTTGGGCCTGGGGCCACACTCAGAAGCCCTCCCACGAGATGTGGACCCATTGCGGCTTACACACCACCTCAGGGCTGTCCTGGAGTAGCGATAAGTTGTAGGTCGGCCATGAAGTCCAAAGCCTGAGATGACCTTGCTTTGCACGAGCCAATCGATCACGACGGCGGCGTGACCTCCTCATCCCCTATGCTTGCCTTGTGGAAGATTGCGAAACACAGTCAGAGCATGAGCCGGTCGTAAAGTGCCACGGGAAGTTTCCATTGACCTAAGTCACCAAAGTGGCTAACGGAGAAGGGTCCCCGACTTCCACGTTCACCAGAATACGCAGAAATATAACAAATCAAAAGGGTTGAAGATAGTAAAGCCAGAAAAGAAACAAAACCTTTGAAGTCCTAAAAAGTGGCTAAATAAAGCCTATTGGTCTCCTACCAACAAGTGTTCACATTCAAAGTATGTATTGATGGACCACTACAAAAATAACAATACAGAAGGATAAAAACACTTACCACCGACTTTGCGACTTTTGTCATCTGGAGAAGCTTTCAAGGAAGCTTTTATGCGTCCCTTCGGATGCATACTCCATCTCGTAGTATTTCCGCTGAAGTTCCTGTTCCTCCTTCTTCTCTCGCTCTACTTCTTCAAGGGGCCGCAGCAGCGGCACTCCACATGTCTGCTTCTCCACAAAACGCCCATTGAGAAGTTGTAAGAAGTTTTTTTCTACTTCCACCTCTCGCGCAATCACGACATCCCCGTTGCGTGGTGTCCACGGACTATAGTTTGAATAATTGTTACTCGGAATTAGAAACATCTGAGCTCGGTAACGACCTATCGGGCTACAGTCCACCACATAGGGTCTACCTTCGGCTGGATCAAAAGCACGGTAATAGTGTGTTTGATAGTAGTCGCCCCCTACACCAAAGATACCTAGAAAAACAAGACCACGGCGGATCCAGGTGACAGCACGGCCACTTAAAAATTCCTCAGATGAAATCCATGCGCTCATTCAGTTGATTTAACTGTGTTTTCCTATTGCCCTTTCTTTTTGCAAAATGTGAAAATGAAAAGCTATTTTCTAACTTTTCTGAATAGATCCATAGATCAGGGAAATAGACAAAAAAGGTAACTACTACCATATGGTCCAGATCAAAGAAAGCAAATATACAACAAAAAGAGTCTACAAATATCCTTCATTTTCTGCTTCCCCTTTTCCCCCCCCCCCCCTCCTCATCCCTTTCATCACAATATCATAATTGTACTTACAAAGACACTGAATTATACTGGAGATTTTTTTGACTATCCAATTCGATAAGATAGGTAACACTCACAAAATCAACCGCAATTTGTTTTAGTATCAAGCACTGGATTTTCCCTTCAATCAATGCTAAGTATATTAGCTCTTTTGGATATTTTTACTCTTCACTTCGTTCGATTGAGCCGTGTTCCTAGCCTGGGAAGTAATATGCTGCTGATTCAGTCGCACTATTTCCATGCACACCCGCGCAATGATGCATAACTCAATCCAAACTACCTCAATCATTAAAGGAGCCCAATACAATATCGCTAGAAAAGCTCCAGATTCGTCAAAATAATTGACGCGAGACGTGCGGAATAATAACTCACCATACTTTTGCCCAATACGGTTTAGCGGAACAGCCGAAAAGGCCAGTGCTAGAAGGAAGATGCTGCACACGAAAAGACGCTCTACGGAGCAAGGACGCAACACCGTCACATTCAGGATAACCAAAAGGATCATGGTGTGAAAAGCAGCCAAATAATAAAAAAATGGTTCTGACCAATTCACCGAACGGTAGAAGAGACTCATCTCTTTCAAAAAAGCATCCAATAGGTTGGATCTCTTCTCTGACTGCGTGAAGAGAAGAAGGAATTCATCCAAATGGATAGCCTTTAACAACTCCTCATGAGCATCCTTAAAAGAACTTATAAAAGTGCCCATTCGGTGCAAATAACGAAATGATTGTCTCACTAGGGAAAAAACTTTGTGTCTTTCGTTTTGAATTCAATATGCGCACAAAAGGGAATGCCTGACTATAATGGTTTAGACACCTAACCTGGGAAAATATTTAGCCAGTATCCCATGAATTGGAAACCAGAAGCAAAAAGAAAAACTTCGTTGGGCTAGTGAGTAGCATCTTTTCAAAACACGTAATATCTTTCCACAAAACTTTAGAAATAGCCAAGAGTAACAGTGGTAGCTCGGGGAGGGGTAAACGGGCAGACAGATTTTATTATAGGACGTTTCGCTTAAAAATGTACGAATCGGTTAACCGCTTTTTGTTGCCCAGTTTAGGCAAGCGTTTCCATCCAGAACAATCTGAAAAGGAAATCAATTGATTTATTTTTTCTTTTTTAGCTTCAGTTTACCTGTTTTTGTGGCTGCAGCCCTCAGTTTTGGGGGCAGGATCCCGCCCCTCCTGGGGTTGGTCTCGTGGCGCGACATGAGGGTGCCACTGTGCTTTTTTGGCTGTACGCCGGTTGCGCAGCTAACACAGAACCCAACCACACGACACTCCCGAGAGCAAGTTGGGCAGCGCCAGAGGACGCCTTTTTGATCCTCAAAGCCAGTATAAATGTCGGTTGGGCACTCTAACCCGAGGCGAATCTTCATTTTGCCTTTCATCTTTGGGCGTGTTTTCTTTAGGTGAACAGACTTAGGCTCCGAGGGAACGACAGGCGGCAGGACCCCTCCATTCAACCTCAGTGTATCTTTCCTCTTCTGATGCTGTTTTCTAGTCTTCGACACCATGATTTCCAAAGCCTAACGCTAAAAGAAGAACTATGTGAATACGAATGGTAGCTGCAGCACGTACACTCAAACTAAGAATCCTGAATCGATAAGTATGAGAATAAATAAATAATTCAGCAAAAAATATATAGACAGATTCATACCTTTTCATCCCCTTTTAAGCTCCAAATATTTAGGATCAACCACACACACACCTGTGTCAACAGACTGTATCTCATTCATCAAGTTTTGATGCAACGGGACTCTTTCCCGTTACCAAACAATTTATAAAAAAGATGTATGAGGGGAAGGTAAGAATATCATTCAGCATAAGATGTATAGCTTTGAATGCTTATTGCCCTAGATTCTTTCCTGCGTTTGTCAGCTCAAATTGTCTTCTAGAAAAAGTAAAACTGCGGCTCTTCATTCCGTTCTCTTGATTTCTTTACTAATTCTTCATATCTTGGAGCCATTTCCTTTGCGCGCCTCCACGCCTCCTTCTTTTGCTCTTCAGTGAGCTTCGATTGGTACTTATCCGTCATTTTTTGCAGCCTTTGAGGATCCTGTGCCTTGGCAGCGAAGTTCAGCATCGACGCTGGTCCAATGAGCTGAAGATCACCATACCGTACGTTGCTGTTTGGGAACTTTTTGTTTTTTTGCGGATCGTTCCACCAGCGGTCCTTTTTTAAAAGGTCATCGGTGTCGAGAAACTGGCTATCGTCGTTCAGTTCCTCTGGGCTTATGGCCCGATTCTGCAACTTTTTCACCTCACTAACATCGATCCCAGAATTTTCGATCCGTGAGATCCAATAGGAAGTGCTAGTCGGTGACGGTAAAGCCTCGTCGAGGTTGCCATCCATGGTCCGCGTGGGTTCTTTTGGCCGCAGCTCCTCTGCGCGCAGCTCCTCCTCGTCGGCCTCTGTGGCGAGTGGGACGACGTTGCACGCGAGCAGACCGGTGCTGCCGAAAGCCGTGAATTTAACCTTGCGTCCCTTCTTCAAAAGCGCTTTTCGGTGTGAATAAAGAATCACATTTTCTTCAGCATCTTTAAGAACGTATCGATTGTCGTCCTGCCCATGGATGATGCCTTGACCCTCATGAGTGGACCATGCCACGAGTGTGCCCTCGAGCCAATCGACACTCTCTGGCTCCACTTCGATGCTGTGCGGCACTTGCTTCCCGGTAAGCTCGTTCACCTTCAGGACAGTGGTGCGCGCGATACGAGACTCGGATGCCCGCCGGGTGGAACTACCTGGAACACGATCGAGCAAAGGCTTTATCGCCATCGAGGAGGAGGCAGGCGTTGACAAGATGCTCACCTCCTCCACGTAGCGCGGGTGCGCCTCGTTCACACGGAAGGTCACCACGGCACCACGGATGGTATGGCTTGACTGATCCACCAGCTGGGTAAACACCGCGGCGGACTGAATGTAGTATTTGCGACCTTGCCCATTTTCAACGGTCCCCTGCCCACCACTCCAGCGGGTAATAACGCCGTACATGGGGCCTTTGGGGGTCGCGCTACCATCCCCATTCGTAGCAGCCTCACCGCGAGGCGTTTGACTCGAGTCCGGATGTCGCCCAGAATGTGCTTCTTCACTACTGGTAACCCCAAATGTGGAGGACCCTTCTTCCATGTCCCCCTCGTCGTATAGGGTACCTAGCTGTCGTCGTCGCTTTTCAAGCTGCTGCATTTTTTTCTTTGCGGCAGAAGCCTCCTCGATGGAGGCGGTACTCGCGTCGAACTCTACCTTGCCCTGAACAATAATGTTTTCTGCGAAAGTCTTGCCGGGCTGTGTAGAGTAAGTCACCTTGGTGAAGACTATGGGGCGATTCACCAAACATTGTGAAGTAGGCAATGCACTTTGGAAGCAGTACACATTGCGAATGATGCTAACCTTTGTGGAATCGGACGGATTGACCGGCGGTGCGTCTTTAGGAATTTCGCTGAGCCCCTCCATGACGACACCGCTGCGATGAATAGAGGACCATACCAATACGACTCCTGTTACCTCCTCAGCTACGACCTTACGCTGTGGTAAGCTCTTTTGTGCTTGCTCAATACGCTGATCGATCACCTCCTGAGCTTTCTCGGAGCTCCCCAGCTGTCGTTTGATCCTCAAAAACTCGTTGAAATTGTCGGAAAAGATACGGCAGCTGCGCATATCCTTGTAGTTTTTGGTTGGTGGAACAGGCTCTTCATTCACCAGTGGGCCGCTCAGACGCACCAACTGATCGGATGGGATACTATTAAGGTCAATCGTAATTTTAATCGCATATTGCCCCACCTTTGGTTTGCTCGTATCATTCGATTGTATGCTTGACCCACTCGGTACGGCAGATGTGCTCGATTTTACTTCATTTGACGAAGTCAAGAAGCTCAAATAGTCGAGCGGGGGATTCCGATCATAGCTGCGGGCTGTAATGGGTTCTGTACGCGAACGAATGATGACGCAGTCCCCTGCATTAGCATCCTCCGTGACGTCGAAAGTAGCTGTGGCTCCTTCCAGAGACCGAAGCAGCGTTGGGAGGACTGTTTCGAAGGCCCTCGTGTTGGGAATGACATATTCCTGGCCGGTCTTCTCTTCCACAATGACACCTCGACGATCGAACGTATTCCATGACTTTATCTTACCGATGCACTGGCGCGGTTTGAGTGAAGCTTCCCTTGCTATGGTAGAGGTTTTTCTGTGGCAAGAACCTGTCAGCAAAGGCGCTCTAACAAGTGACACCAACTCACATGCAGAGAGGTTGCATACTCTTCGGCACCAAAAGTCCATTTAAATAAAGGGATTTGACCCCAAAAAAAGCTATCAAAATGCGAACCTGCTGATAAAGAGAAAAAGGAACAAATGGGATCAATACACACATTTATGAACAGAAATATAAAAACGATGTATATATATATATATGTCTATAATCTGAAATTAATCTTTTTTCTTAGCTTTTTAGTAATATTTGATCCACTTCAGAATATTGCTGACATATAGAATTCGAGATATTTATTTGCACAAAAAAATTCCTGATTAAGAATATACATATAGATTCTTCACGTGAAGTACTTAACACAAACCCACGTATGGATAGGTGTACATTACGCTTTGACAAAGAAATGATCTGGAAAGTTATGAATCCACAATTGTCTTGAATCTGATAACTTAGTGCTAAGACATCAATGAAATGAAAAATAGTAACATCGCTGAGCTTTCTAGTTCTATAGTATGGTAGCGCTATCCTCATTGAGGGAAAGACAAAAACTTAAAAATTTAAATAAATTTACATTAGGCTACCTATTTATTATTTCCATCCCATTCAGTTCATGGCAAATTCTTCAACAACTGTTTAAAAGAGCTAAAAGGACAAGCACAAAATATGGAATGAGCTTCATACAAAATTCAACAAATCATTCCTCATGACGTTACCACTCCATAAAATGGAATACCGAATAAGAACATGAATCAAATGCAAACAAATGTAACTTGAAAAATGAAGACTGTCAGTCAAACAGGATTTCGGGTTAAAGCAGGAGAAATTGTTTCTTTTTTATTTTTGTATCATTTGGGAGCTGTGCATAAAATATATCAGACATAATTCAGGAGCCTGAATACTTCTGACGAAGTTATATCCGAATAAGAATATTCACGTATTTTTTGGTTGATTACACTCCATTCTGGTCGACGTTATTATCAAGTACAACATGCAAATATAATCTAATAATGGAAAAACTTGCTCTATAAATCAAATTCACCTGCTTAGAAAAGAAAATACAAAACGAAAAAAATATCAGAAAGAAACAACCCCTTGTTTAAGCTTATCTTTCCTTATCAACACTTTCCCCTGTTTTAGTAGTCCCATCCCAAAAGAAATGAAGACATCTAGCCCTGGATAAAAAAAATTGCAAAACATGTGCATTATACATTGCTCTTCTTTATAGACTAATCAAAAAACGTTTAGATAAATGGCACTATACAACCTCGCGTTTATGCCCACAAAACGCACAGAATTTGGCGATGTCGCTAATGTGGCGTTTGCCGCACTGAATGCAGAAAGGCACAGGCGTCTTGCCACGGGGGGTCCGAGCGGGCTCAGCGGCCTCGCCGTCGCCGGAGATCATCGCCTCAACGGCGGCCATGTGGCCGGTCACATGACCGCTTCGCTCAATCTTTTGGGAAGGGGAGTGCTTGCGTTCCGTCAAAGCTCGCCCCTGGGGGTCTAAGTAGGTGCTGTTATGGGTATTATTAATGCACCGGGAAGGGTTCGAGAACTCTTTGGTCCTCTCCGGGGAGACCTCCGTCACTTTAACTGGCGCACTTGACTTCTTCTGCGAGGTCGTGTGAGTTGTGGGGTACTGAACTACAAGCATCGTGTGTGAGGGACGTTGGGTTGGCCGCTTGATGGGGACCGGAACGCCACTCTCGCGAGTGACTGACGACTTATCTGGGCGCAATGCGGTGTAGCCTGGGTGGCCGGTACCTGCAGGATTAACTTTCTCCTCCTCCTCCTTCTTGCGCTCGCTACGCACCCGCTGAGAGTCCAACCGCCTCTGTTCAGTCAGTACAGTGGTCCTATAAATCAGTGGGGCTTTCTGACGTCGTTGGGCAGATGTATAAGCCGACTGCTTCTTACCAGAAGTGACATCCCCGGAAGGCAGGGATGAGGCAGAGATACACTCTTCAGTGGCTATTTTGGTGGTGCCTCGAGGAGAGGACACCAAGTTTTTGCAGGGCAACAGGCTGGCGGTGGACATTCTATGCTGCGTGGATGATATTTGCGGCTTGTGACTCATGAGATTTTCTGTATTCACTGTGGGTGCTGCAGCAAGTATGATGCTAGTCGGGTTGGGGTCTAAGGGAGATCGTGCGGTGTGCAGAGAGGCATTGAGAATATTCTTTATCGCACTTTGCGTGGAAGTTCTTCGCTGGTCGCTGCTATCGCTTCCACTAACTCGACTGATGTTGTTGGAAGTCGATACGGATGCAGTACCACTTGGTATTATGGATTTTCCCTTTTCTTCGCCACGAACGCGAGGGGTGCGACGAGGGATTCCCGCGCTTGCTGTGCCCATGCGGCGTGGAGTGGCACCGCACTTCACGGCTGATGCAGCTCGAGGCTCTTTTCGTGGCCCCATGGTTTCCCTCTTCGACGAGGAGTGCTTTGACTTTTTATCGGAATTCATCACAGTAGAGTTTGAGCAAGATGAGATGACGAGGCTATCGGCCTTGCATAAAAGTGACGGTATGGCTGCAATAATGGGATCAATTGCCTTCACCGAATTAATGGAGGGACTTTGTGATCCGCTCGGTGCCTTACCTCGCGGAGTAGGGGTTGACATGTGCTCAGGGGGAGGACATGGTTTGTGTTCGGGGGTCGTACGACTTCCAACAATACCTGCACCCCCTTTGGAGTGCATAGATCCGGTATCGCTTGCCACATCTGTGCAGGCACGCACTCCAACTTTCGTTGAATTCTCCACACGGTCACCATTCCCATTTAGGGTGGGAGCTATGTGGATGTCGTCAACCTGGGCTATGCCAGCTGTTTTGGGTCGAGGCGTCAGAACTTTCGATATCCCCACCGAGGACCTGGGGGGTGTTGTTTTCTCCTGACTCATATTGCCTCTGTTGGGAATCGCTATTAAATGGTCGTCACCAAAGATACCTGGTTGTGGGGACAACGAATGTGAGACGGGTGCCATAGGAGGTGAAGCACACCATTTGTGCTGCAACGACACATAAGAAGGCTTCGCTGTATTTATGTTGTTGATCGAATCATCGGGCTGTAGAAACTCCTTCTTCTCGAGTGCTGTGGAAATGGTGCCATCACGTGCTACCCACGAGCCCTGCGTTGTGCTCCCATCACGACCACTTTGAGGTGGTTTCATGTTAGATGTAGGGTTGCGGGGCATGGGGCTGCAAGCTTCGGGTAGGTCGTGTGGAACAATAATTGAGGAACTGTTGTAATGATGCATTCCCTGTGATGTAACCGAACGCATGGAGCTCTCTCGTTGTATCGATCCGTTTAGACGCTCTCTATTTTCTAACTGCATCATGTTTAAATTCCGAATAGCAGTCTCCCATTCAACAGGGGGATTACGGTCTCGCGACTCAACACAACCGCGACGTCGCCGCATCGAGGAAGCTGTAGAGCCGCTTTCAGCATGACCAAAATTTTCTGAATCCACAGAGTGCTGCTTAAGATCCTTAAGAATAACTTCCTCGCTACAAAAAATCATGTCTGAGGTGCAATGAAACTAAAGATTAATGTATTGTTTTCCTATCCAATGCAACTATACACTAGATAAAAATACTGCCGAAGCAATAAGAATGGCAAACACGTGAAATCAAGTAATGTAGAGTGTATTAATTGCTTTGATATGTTATTAATACCTATATATGTAGATAAATAGGTGTAACTTAACCAATATCTGTAGTGTGGATTTCTCTCAAGCTCTTTCTATTAAATTGTGTTTCCGTTAACTAGGGGCTTACTCCGTCCTTCAGAACGAAAAACAGTTTTTTTTGGCCTTGTTATTTTAGGATTATGTAACTTAGCAATTCTAATTAGCATATGTGAGCTTAAAGCGAAATCGAGGAACAAGTGAATTGAGACAGAGGAAACAAATCTCAAGCAAATAGTGTAACAGCGAATACCAACTAAAGACATTGAAAAATGATAAGAATCCAGCGACATATCTACTGCGACAAAAGTAGCAACATGTGAAAAAAAAAATGACAACTTTTTAAAAAATTATTCCAACATACAGAACTCTAATTTACTTCATTTTTATAAGATTAGCATTTTGTGGAAAGCAATGCCTTTGTAAAGATGCATGCACCTTCCCCCCACTCCCATGTTCATCATCCCCTTTCGGACGCTCAAATGTTACTTAACAAACACGACTTCTGCATATCCTCTGACGGAGAGATCACTGTTAAGAGTTTGAAAAACGCTATCCACGATGGCAAGAAACGAAGTGTAATTCAAAGTGAGATAATTGTCGCGTTGAGAAGTGTGCCTTCCTTCCTCCTCGCACACCAACTTTCCCCATCAAAAGAATCCTCCGAATCGGATTCGGAAAGGGGCTCACGTGGGCGCCTAAGGCCCAGAGGGAACCTCAACGACACTGCGGCGTCCTCAAACTCCGCATCCGACAGGTCCGCCCCACCAGGGGGCTCGGTCGGAGGATTAGGGGCCTCACGAACGGCCGGCACCGGCCGCTCCGCAGGTGTTCGCCTAAAAGAGCGGATACAGGGACCAAGGGTGACGACCAACCGCCCATCCAGCAGCGCCGCCAGCCCACCTGTAGGGCCGAGTTGATCCTGGTAGCGTTGACTCCCGTGCACGACCCCTTTTGCATCCGCCTCGCCTTCGCCGGGGAAGACCAAAAGTCCCCCAGCGGAGGTGGAGGACACCAGCACCCACGTCTCACTTGACGAATCCTGCGCGTCAGGTTTCGCAAAGGCAAAATCACAGACCTGATGCGTACTCATCTCACGATGGAAAAGTGCGACCGGTTCCATACACCGCCGGAGGTCCCACGCGTAGATGAATTCCGACCCCTTATACCCAGACACGTAGACGCGATGCTCGTCGCTGGGGTGAGAATGGATGCACGCGGTCCCACCCTTGTGCATTCCCCGGAGCATCAGAGCGGGGCAGCAATTTCGCAGGTCGATCGCCTCCACCACATCGCTTTTAAAGTAGCTGGAAAGCACGAGCTGGCATGGCCCGTTGGCCAGTGCACACGTGGCACCGACAGCCGACCCAACTCGCGATCGGTAACTCATCACCGCATTGTCGCCTTGATAAAGCACATCGAAAAGGCGGACGTGGTGTTTGTCCTCAAACCCGCCGTAGCCACCGGCAATGAGCCCGGTGTGTGGCTTTTCCAGCCAAAGCGCGGAGAGAGGGTCGGCATGTTGTCCACTGTTGTTATAGGCGACGTAGCTGGCCCGTTGCAACCCGTCCGCGAGGTCCCACAACTGTAATGGCTGGCTCTGACAAGCTGTCAAGAAAGACGCATTCTCCGCCCCAGCCTTCAGTGGGTACCAACAGATGCTCCTAGGTGGGCAAGGCAGCTTCACTCGAGGGGTGGCATCGGTGTCCGATACAACACACGGGACCTTTAAGTTAGGATCCTCGCACTGAATCTGTACTACACATGGTTTGTTAGACGTCGCTAAGATTTCATACGGGTTGTCAGGAGCTGGGAACAGACGCCTAAGGTGGATACCATCGTCATTCATTCTATCTAACTTGATAAATTCAGACCGTAAAAGTGTAAGACCAACCAAAAGGTAAAAGGGGAGAAGGAAAAGGATAGCTGAAACTATTTCTTATCGTAACACATTAACTATTTCTTTTAAAAAGCGAATTTATATATACATATATATATAGGTTTGCTTGCGATTCCCTTCGGAGAAGCAAACTACAAAAAAACACTTTGGCACGCCGAGCGAGACTTTAGATACCATGGAAATCAGAAGGAGTGGAAAAAATGGCACCACCTCACGCCGTCACTTAATTACCGCTACTGTCCTACTCCACACTGCCTCCCACAGTTGAGTCTACGCCGAGGACATCGCGTATCTCTTCCACTAGCTGAAGTTCCGCCTTAGCTATACCGCCGGCATCGTCAGAGCGGCCGTGAGATACTGTAGTGACGGCTTCCTCCACAAGCCGCTTCACGTCGCGGAGTAACAACCGCATCGTAATTACCTCTGCGGAGAGGGCACAGTAAGCAATTCGAATCGTCTCCTGCTCGCTGCGCTCTACGGTATACAAGTCCTCAGCGGCGCGGGTGCGCTCAGAAAGATGCTGCACAAATTTTAAGCTTTCCTTGTAATGCGCATGAGAAGGATCCCAGATGGAGGCACACTCACGGTGCGCTTCGGCTGCCTGCTCCACTTCTTCCCTGGCGTTATGGAGGCGCTCATGAATATGTGCGAAGACGTCCAACATCGTTTTATGGAATTCCAAATCATCCCGATCAAAAGCGGCATGAATTCGATACTCCTTGTTTTCTTCATTTGCCATCAGCACACCGCGAACCTGTAGGACTAAGGCCTCCAGCAGAGGATGGTAGTCCGATAAGTCTGTGGATGGCATCTGTGGAAACAAACTTCTTTCGCAAGATAAAGGGCTGGATGCAGCGTCAGCCACGTCAAAACTGCCCGAACGCCTTTCTTTGGAACCGTTTTCCGGCGTTACTTGCCGCCATGGCATGATCATCGGAAACGACGCTGCTGCACCCGATCCAGAGGCCCCAACCCCTTTATACAGATCTCCTGAGAGCCCTACATCCCTGCTGTGTTCTAAGGGTTCATTTCCCTTCTCCTCCTGGAACCGATCGCCGTCGACCGGCTCCACATTACGGGGTGAGTGATCCTGCGAATGCCTACCACAGGTATCTTGGTAATGCTCTTCATACGCCTGAAATGGATCCTTATATACTTTGATCTCTTCCATGGGGACATGAAGCTCGTGATCAGCCCCTTCAGCCCCAACTAAAGCATTGCCTGAACTCTCTCGGCAGATGGAGGCACCAGAACGCTCCAGCTCATTATGATATGAGTCCTTTGCCGTTGTAGAGAATGCTCTGCGGGCAGATAGCATAAGCACTTCCTGCAACCCCTCCGGCTGGCTGTTCCATGTAGGATTCACGTATGGCGGATCCCGTAGCAAAAAATCTTGAATGACAGACTCTAGCAATATCACTGAACGTATATTTGTCTGGTTTAATAAGGAGTCGGTGGAATGCAACGCTCTTTCGAATTCGCGCATAGCGAGCTCTACTTCCGACTCGCTCGGGACAGAGCGCAGGAAAGTATAAAGCGTAGCATGAGCTTTTGATAAATCGTCAGTTAGGGATGCATTATGTATCGACGTCTTGGCTAAACGAATAATAGGAAAAGACATTTCTAAGTACACTATGCAATAAAAATGATAAAATATAAGTAACAAATAAATTTGGCAAGCATATTGGTTTTTGAATCACTTATACTCCCCGTGGCTTTGTTTTATACGCAGTCTAATTCATAGCTTTGCCCACCTACCCCCTAAACAAGCAACACACACATATAAAATAGTTTTAAAAAAATTTCTACCATCTTGTCACGCATGCCTAATCGAAGTAAGTATACAAAAGCAAAACTTGAGTCGTTAGCGAAGACAAATTGCACATGGTGTCAAACGAGTAGTAAGAACAAAATGGTGAAGCACATGGGCACATCATCATCATAAAGGTACTACAACTCCTCGGGATCGACTCTTAGGGAGAGACATGAAATGTTATAATTAATGACGGGGCGCATTCACCCATCTCACTCCAATCTACTCGTAAACACAACAACAACCTTTCAAGAGCAGCTTCATTGATAGTATAGTCAAACCCCCAGAGTAAACGAACGATGAGCCCTTTGTGCGATGAAAAGCATCAGGAAGAATCAGTGTTCAGCAGACAAAAGTCTTTCAAGGCAACTACTGCATGAACTATTTTCCTTACATCAAAGAAGGAAATAGCTGGGTGGACGTCTCCGCCGCGCACACTATTCAAGCTTTTTGCTTCGGAATTCACATGAGAAGATACCACCTTTGTTCATATCGAAGAAATAAGAGAAAAAGCGGCCGGCCTGTGTTTCAAATAGTAAGTAGTGTGCCCTATTTTGGGCTGAGTTGTGCTACCGCCGCAGCATTCTCAAGGGCGACTGGCGACGATGGCGAGCTTAACCTCTCGATCTGAGATTGCTAATGAAACCTTTTCCTGTTATTTGGCGTGATGTGCACGCTACTGGAGTTCGTACATCCTATAAACCTACGAAGTTGTGCGCAAAACAACTCCATCTTATAGTTTATTTGCTTAGGTGAACTCTCTACATGTAAAACAGGCATTGAATAAGTTCAAATGCTCTGTACGGGTTCGCCTCTTCTCTTCGTTGCAAAGGTGATGCAGTATCACACAGTTGGTTCTAATATACACCATAGAAAAGGCGAATGAAAGGTCTCGGAGCGCAGCCAACAAGTTTTACAACTAGAATTGAAAACAAGCGATCAAAAATTCAACGAACAAGGTCTCGGAGACATCTGCACGAGTAAATAATAATGAGGTTTCAAATCATCAAGGAATGCAAAGCAATAAGATATAAATACCGATCTTTCACTCGAAACAAAACAATTGTATATGTATTCGCATTCTTTTTTACTAAATTCGTACCTCGAAGAGAATGGTAAAAACAAAAGAGCGCGTGACAAGCTCATTCTCCAGCCCTCTCCACAGTGCTATGACACGTTGCAAGATGGTTAATTGCGATTTACGAAGGGTTCCTCCACATCTACATCTTCAGTATTGGAAACACCCACATAGATGTGATTTCGCCTGTAATTGATAAAGCGGACGATAGAGGACTTTAAACTTCCACAAAAGCGACGTAGGAAACCAAAAGGTAGCGTCATGGAGCTCGTGGATTCACCAACTGCCGATGCAGAAATGTACAGAGACGCATAATAACAGGCGACAATAAAGAAGCATAGAATAAAAAACTGAAACCCAGAAAGGAGCTGGTGAACCTCCCCCGCAGAGTTGTCTGAGGGCATTCCTTGTCCTCTTCCTTTTCCCTTACGCTCTTGTTGGAGCGGCCTCAATAAATAAATAAATGAGCTTACTTGTTATAAATACGATATTGAATTCAGTAAGCGAGTAAAAGTCGTGTGAGGTATTTATCTTCCTTAAAATAAGTTTTTTTAGTAACTTCTTTACAGTTTAAGGATCTACTTTATCCTAGAAGGAGACAGTAGGCAAAAATATAGTAAAATAACGTAAAAACACCAAATATATTAGGGTCATACACCTGTCTTATTTATCTCTCGGAAAGTAGCCTGAGAGATGCTATGTTTTCATAAACATTTATGGTATTCCTATTTCAAGGGTACATTTACCCCAATGAGTGATTCAAATGTGCAATTCGGGAAGCCATTTATAAACAGTATATATATATATATATTGTTTACTAAATAACAAAATGCTTCACCATGATAAACAATCCCCAATGGGACATAAGGTACCTATGAAAGCACGTTAGCCCTTTACCTCTCGACGAGATCTCTGACCACGACGAGCGTAAGGCAGCGTCCTCATCCAGTCGTTCGAAGAAGACCCATCCATCTGGATGCCGTGCTCGTTCAGCTTCCGACGCAGCGCACGAAGCCGCCGCTCCCGACGCCGAACCTCCCCAAAAGATAGCATGAGGGAAGCAGAGTTCGGGCCTGCCGCCTCAAGCTCTTCGTACTCGTCCTCCTGCAGCTTCACAACATCCAAGGGCATGGACGTTGGGCTCGCCACAGCTGGCTCGGACGTCCTATCAGGGCTGAGAGAGATAGTGTGAGGATACTTCATACGGCGCAAGACGTAAAGAAGTGCATCGCGGAGCGCCACACTCATCTCTCGGATCGCTTCTAGGTGTAAGTCCTGGTCTTGGATAGCATCTGGAACTAGCAGCTCCAACGAAAAAGCATCACCCTCACTGTCTGGGGTCCTGTTAGAGGACATTGGCTTCGAAAACGTTAGTGTGGCCACGACCCCCACCGCAGTTAACTCCTGCATGACGGCCTCATGCAGCACGTATTCGACGTCAGCCCCCCCGGCACTCCTCAGGCGAGGGAGAGAAAGGGATAGGAGAACATCGATATGGTGCATGCTCCCTTGCAACTCCAATGCGTTATTGGCGGTACAGTTGTCATCGTGAAAACCATCTAGAAGGTCTCTAACTGAGTGAAGGAAAGCATTGATCTCTTCCTCCTTAGCTATGCAATTCGCCTCTATATTAGGATCCTCTGAAGGTTGTCTTCGCCGACGCTGACGAACCCAGTACTCCAGCTCACGAGACGTCAGCTTCCCAAGACGCAAAAGCTCACATAACATCGGTAACGTAATGCAAAGGGGATAACAATACGGGACGTCAGCCTGGCACCCGCGCGCATGCCTTCTGCTAAGCGACGCAGCGACCTGTTCATCCCATGCGGCAGCAGCTGAAAGCACCGCACCCCTCCTTTTTACCTCCTCATCCGACGTCGACACAGCACACCCAATGGAAACACCCGCCACCGCTAGCTTCCAGGTTTGTGCTGACGAGGCAGTTTGCGGTTTCCCTTCGCGTTGTGGGGACTTGGTAAATGACGCACACCATTCGGCAAGTGAAGGGGTCATCGCGAAGAATTCCCGAGACGCCGGGTGTTGCCATAGTTTTAACTCCTGCCCACCCTCGCCGGGGAGATGCGTCGCCGAGCCTGGACTAGTTCTTTTCCTCTCTTCCACCTTGGATCCTGTGCTGGGTGATAGCGATTCCGGCAAGGGCATTGGCATTGACCCTTCACACACCCTCAGCAGGATCACAAAGCCCCCATCAAAGCCCGTGCGAAGTGGATTGGAGCGCCACGCCGCGGCGGAAACCTCCGCCACGATCGCCGGATCGCACCACGCGACCTCTTGCTCCGCCGGGGCACCCTCCAGCGCCACCCACGACGCCACCCCCCGCTCCCCGAGGCCGATCCATCGCGTGAACGCCTCCCGCTCATCGGCCGCGACGGCCTGGACCACCGCAGCCACGTGCAGGGGCACGCACTCCACACGCAGCCGACCGCCATCCAACTCCCCTCCCTTTGGCGAACCCGAATCAGCCCGGCGTAGAGCCGTCAACAACGCGCACACCACCCCCTCGTTCTCGAGCGGATTCAGGCTATGCGTGGCATACAGGAGCCACCCCCCCACCTCCACATACCGCAGCGCCGCCCGTAGTTGCCGCTGAAGGCGCTCGAAGTTGCTGTTCACCCGCTGGCAGAGATCAATAAAGTGGTTCGGCGCCGCTTTTGCCTCGCCGCCCTCCGCGATATCCGCCCCGAGATCGAGCCGCGGCCGTACCCCATCCTCGGTGGTGGGAGGCGTAAAAAGAACCACCCGACAGGAGCGGAGGAGTTGTGCGCAGGGCAAAACCCGCGAGAAATCATCTGGAGGATGGATAAAGGCAAGGTTGGGTGCCTGATCAGATAAGGAAATAGGGTGCGATGACTTCGTAATCAAGCCATCCTCCTGCGGGGTGCTCTCGCCGAGAGGGGGGGGTTTGTCGTCGCGGTGGGTCGCTCTCGGACGGCGGTTCTGCGAGAGCGCCGCGACCACCACCACCGAATCCAGCCCCCCGCCCCTCGGAAGCGTTTCATCGACATCCTCGGCCGCCACCACCGCGGGCGACGAAGGCGATAGGGGTTGGGTTCGCATCCGCGCATAACTGGCGACGTCGCGATGGTAAGAGCTGCTAACGAGTGGTATCGACCCCTTCACTCGCGAAGACGCCGTTCTGGCGCCGAACATATCCAAAATGATCGATGGAGGGCCGACGCCCACACCAACCCTCCTCGTCGCGTCGCTCGTCGCAGACGCCAACCCCACCGCAACGCGAGATAGGATCGGTGTGAGGATGTCAACACTCGTGAGAATCCCCGTCGCGACCTGGCGTTGAAGCCAATGAAGGTGCGCAATGGAAGGTAACACGGTTGGTTGGGGAAGAAGAGGGACCACATCATCACACCATCCTTCCCTTTCCACGTTTCCAGGGAGGTTACCCACCTCTCCCGGGGTATGGACGGGGGCGACCGCCTCTTGAGGCAGTCTCGTGGTGTCTTCCGGGGATTTGGCGTCGCCGCTATCGCCATCCGCTGCCAATGGGGGGGAACTCATGCAAACCGCAACGTCGGCTGACGATGACAACGACAGGTCCGCTTGCTTTGGAGGGATCAATGGCGGTGCGTCTTCTTGGGGTGGGATAGAGCCCCTTGCGACACACATCGCACTTGATTCCTCCCAATCCAACTGCGTGGGCGTCAGCACAACACTATAGATCAGCGGGTCATATGTGCGCTGAAACACCTTCTCGGTGGAACACTCCACATGACGTTCCAGCTGATCACGCACCACAAGGCGGCTTAAAGGACGCTCGCCATTTACCTGGAAAAGGGCAATGGCTGGCCGCAGCATAGCAGCCACAAAAGCATGCCGCTCCATTTCGGAAATAAGGCCCTGCTGAACGTAGTAGTCCACAAAGAACTGGCGATGCGCATCCAGCTGCTCCCCTCGACGAGTCTCGTCGGATTTATACGTGGGGACTTCGGTATCTTCCTCGCTGCCTGACAAAACGCCGTCGCCGCTTTCCATACTCAATTCCTCGCTAGCGGTGGCGGCAAGATCCTCGAAGAACTGCTGCGCCAACTCCAACGTTGGGATCTGAGGTTCAAGTTTGTCATCCTCGGTTTCTTGGTGGAGGAAGTCGGCCGCCGCCTCATCTGAGGGGAATGACAGCGGCTCCACAAAGCCGCCGCGGTCGCGGTCGTCGACATCGCTCACCAGCTGCACCGGCATCGCCTGACGCCACGAGCCATGAACGATCTCCTCCTTCTCTGCTGCGGTCAGGCCGTGAAGGTTACGCCACGAGCGCTTCAGATTTGGTGCCGTGAGAGAGGCCAATGACTTAGGCAAGCGACGCCCTTTTCTTCTTAAATAGCAGAAAGTACGGCTTAACATCGCGACTTCATATGTAAAGGTGCGGATATTCTCACAAAAAAAAAAGTGGAAATAGTAATAGTAATAGCGCTAAATAGTTCTACAGACTCCCAACAACTCACTCAGAACTATGCGATGAAGATGACTTCTTCTTCATGCTTACTCATTCTGTTTAGAGGCATCGTATAAGTAATAAAGGTAACCCAAAGGAGTGCATTAAGTTAGTTTCTTGCTGCTTTAGTTTGGGGGAAGAAAAAAGACATATAAAGGAATAAAAAGGAAGATAAGTTAGCAAGAAAGACACACCTGAGGGCACAGCTTCTTACCAACACCTTTGGCTACTTTAAAGCCTTTTGCCTTCACTGACACATGACAGACCATACTTAATTATTCTCCTTCGTATTTGCCTTGTTCGCTGCTTTATTGCTGCTATTAATTTTGGAAGAGTCCGCAGATCCAACAACCCCCGCTCCAACACAGACACATGCCAGAGCTTGCGCATCCCAAAGGGGATCATGGGGTCGCTGAATCGATGAAACTGCTTTGGCCGTAGAATCACAAGAAGCAACGCGCTGCAAAGCCTCAGGCAGCCCTGGGATCATCTTTTCAACGCGAATAAAGCCAGCACCTGAAAAAAGTGTGCTCTTGGTGATGTCGACTAGTTTGGCCTGAAAGGGTGACAGCAGCACATCCTTTCGAAAATATGGCATCGGAGTCGTTTGTGTTGATTGAGAGATATCCGTTTGCGAAAAGGAAGATTTTGTGCGCGGGCGACGCATCTGTCGATACTCATCACAACTTAGGCGCAGTGTTGTCGACAAAACTTTTGCGTCCATGCTACCGTAGGCATAAAATTTGCTCGCTTTTGCTTGAAAGAGGAAGTGTGACCAGGCTTTGTTGAGGGCAGCAGAGAAATCCTCTAGTGAGGCACACTCGTTGTAATAGAGCGGCGCTGAAACGGCCGTGGGGATACATAAAGGGCTAACAGTAAAGGGATACTTTCTTCGTCGATAAGTATCCTCAACACATCGCAGCTCGCCCTTGACGAGCTCGGCGCAACCACGGAGAAAGTCACACCAATCCGTCGCGTTTGGAAAAGACTCACGCAGCACCGCTTGTGTGAATTCAGGATAATAATGAAACAGAAACGCCAGCGCCTTGTGTTTTCCTTTGCCACGTCCATAGGCACGTATTCGTGAAACGTACTTTACCGCCTCCGCGAAGGTGGATGAATTGGTTGGATCTGTATATAACCTCTTCAAAGGGTCCTCCCCCAAAAGGTATATGTTGGGGATAGTGTACGGATCAAGCAGTTCGAAGTGATACGAAATGGCAGCGCGTATTTGAAGCCTGCGCCGCAGCTCTACCTCCGTCGGAGAGAGTGAGCGATTGCCCACTTCTTGTGTACATAGAGGAAACTGAAGATCATCAAACCCACTCTGTTCATTCGGGGAACCATTTGAGTTAAGGCTTGAGGAGGAAGTCAACTCTGATGCCGCGCATGACATGGAATCCTCGATCCCATTAAGCGGCACATCGTGTGGTTCAACTTCTGTGCATGCCTCCTTCTCGATTGTACCAATACCGGACTCCTTTGCTTGATCAAGTCTATTCGATTCCTGAAGGTGTTTTACCTCACGGAGCGCGTGGCGCATATTCCGATACGCCTCGAGGGATGCCTCGGACTCTCGTCGGAAGGCATTTTTTAGCTCCTCAAGAGCCTCAGAGTGAACAAGATGCTCCTTTAAGTATGGGTAGAGTAGGTGTCCACATGGCAGCACATCCGCCGTGCGCATCACTTCATTAGACTCAATAGCAAGAACAGTTGGCACCTCCGTGAACCACGTACAAGCCCGCTCCGTAGAGGAAGAAGACGAACCTGCACCATGCTTTCTTGCCTCAAAGGGTACAAAAGCAATGGAGCGCGCAAAATGCAACCCGCGGCACTTTAAGAATTCAAGGTCGACAGCAATATACCGCGTGATTTTTTTGGGGGGATTTATGTGCATGTATATTTTTGCGAAGGAATTTTTTCCACATCCCTTTCTGTAGGTCGAATCCCACTAGTTTCAATACCTTATGATAATGTACTTTTTGCTTGATTACGTATGTCAAGTTTCAATTACGAATAACAATAGTAAAAATAAAGTGAAATGAATAAAAAAGGCAGTTCACCACATTGCTTCATCAATATTAATCTTTTATATTTGAGTGCAAAGTACATAATAACTGCAATTTCAATGACATACCTAATGAAAGCTGCGCACCAGTCTTACTCCAAAGTTTACATAAGAAATTGGAGAGCGATGCAGAAGTACACATGTGCATAAATTGAAGGTTATTGGTGGCGATAACAACGATACAAACAGCGATGTGCACGTCATACTAATAATAAGGAAAGATGATCTTCTTTGTGCTCTATTCCTTATTACATTGGTTCCTGTACTATTACAAGAAGAAACTCCTCGTGGCACTGGATTATAACATCATTCATCCGTGTGCGGATGCGGAGCAGCTCTAGTGAACTCTCCCTAATAGGTGCATCTGTTGGTGGTTGCTGCTTTCCCAGATTCGTGTTGTTTGGACTTTCAACTATACTGTCTTCTTTTGTTGGAAAAGATGGTTTCAATGAGGTATTACGCTTCACGATAGTGCTAGCAAACAAGGCCGAAGCCCCACGGCAGCATTCCGCTGCCATCTCAGCATAGGCCACCGCAACAGAGCGGTCGAGGCTCTGAAAGCTATCACGAATAGGGACACCATCCGCCGTGCATACAACAACACCAAGTACACCCTTGGTGTACGTCAATTGTTCTATAACTGCCTCAATTGACTCCTTCGCCATGGCTAAAAAATCTGGGGAGTGTGCAATGATAAAGAACACCCTATCCACTCGCCAGTAATCAACTAGTTTATGCTGTGTTGGTTTGCAGCTAGTACAAAAAAATGCTGTCTATTAAAAAAAAAAAGAGGACAAGCTTTGGCTCTAGCAATACGCAGCCACTATGAAAAGCAAAGGAAATTCAAGAAAAAAAAACAAGTCCTTGACGAAGGTATTTCTACTCTTGTCTGATTTTTCAGAATAGCAGAAAAGACAATATCTCGAAACGAAAATAAGTACATCTGAATTTTTACTTGAAAACATGTTTATTTGTCATTCGCTTGAGTGATATCGAATGAAAAGGAATATGTGAAAAAACAAATGGAAATGAAAAATCTGAAGATAAGCAATTCTCCACTAGAAAGGAGGCTGCTGAGTCTAGCACAAGAAGAAAAACTATTACGTCAACCACATTTAGCAAAAATAAAAAGGGAAAACCTTCTCAGAGTGGTAATACAGTTTTACTCTTCGACTTGACTCTATGGATGACCAAAATAATTCGAAATTTCTGACCAGCAAATTTAACAAAAAACTATGAAACCCGTTGTGATTCTACGTCTCAACTTCATTTACGCTTGAAGAGGAGATCGTTTCGTCTCCAGTACTGCTACTGTGAGTAGTGGTGCTACTTTCCTCTGAAAACGACCTACTACGGCGATAACCCTGCGTTAAAAGCCTCGGACCCCTCAAGTGAGACGACCGTCTACGTGAGGACCTACCCCGGGCTCCCCACAACACCTCACCCGTAACACAGTCTTTGCTTGCAGTACCCTGTGAAGTTTTGCGTTGCTTCACATTTCTAGCATGACTAGTTGTCGAGAGTGTAGTATTAGCATCTTTTCGTGCGATAGATATTAGGAGAGAGCTCTTTTGGGATCGTGCCGCTTCCAGCTGTCTGCTGAAGTACTCAGCTGGGTAGAACAGCAGTAAACTGTCGACCGAATCGCATGGAGTTGCAGTTCTGATTTTAGCCCCACAATTCTTTCCGTAGATATCGCGATCCTTACCTATCTTCCGATGACGAGTAGAAAGACGAGATGATCGGACATGCGGCCGACGTTTTGTCCCTGTGGTCCGAGTCGTCCTGATTGGCAGCAACGTCCTCCTCCAGCAGGATGAAAGAGCAAGAAATAGAGCGCGAAGCAATAACTGAAAGCTTGTAAGCGACCAACGCAACCCGCTAACAAGGAACGCCCCGTCATTGTTGCTAGGGGAAGTTCGAGGTAGCGTATCACGGTAATTCCTCCAAACTTCGCCCAAGGCTATTCGATCTGAGCACACATACCATGCACTTGCTTTGGACACATCTTGAATGAGCCCAAGCAACCGCAAGCACGCGGCCTCCAACTTCACAGACGCCAGCGCGCTTACTGGTACGTCAGCCATCACGGGGGCTAACGCGGAAGATAGAAAAAAAATGACCGCGTGGTAGATAGTGCTTTCAGAGGTGTCGGCACTGCATTGACAGTTGCCATTATCACTTGTGTCAAGTTTACAATCGTCATGCACTACCTGCAAACGTTTTATGCCTTTGCAGATCTGAGATAAAACCATTTTGGAGGTACGCGGCAACCACTTAAGCAGAGCTTGCGGTGCCTCTGCAGCATTGTGAAGACTACTCGAGTCCAGTGGAGCGCTGTTGAAGTGCGACACAAGAAACGGGTTGCATAGGGCCGCCGAGAAGACGTCAGCGATGGGATAAAAAGCGGCGACGATTTTAAGGTGTGTGGAGTCCATGATGGCGTCTCACTAATGCACCGCCCTTCCTCCTTTCCAAGCCCTGATGACCGATTGTTGACTGTTAGGGTGAGGCGAAATTAAAGCAAGAACTTCGTGTACACCGGGTGGAGGATTAATTTTGATCTAAAATCACACGTGGAAAATAAATAATATAGTAGAAATATTTCGAGAATGTTGCTCCTTGTATATCATACATTAACATAAAATGAATAGTTCTTCTCAATAATATCCCCCTCTACTTGGAAACTTAAACCCTGCAATTTGCATTTCATACCAGGGTTACCTTGCTATTCAATTCACCGTGTTGGAGTTGTAAACAAACTAAACTGGAACACGAGGAAGGACCTAAAAAGGCATCACCCCTCCAACCCAAACATATATATATATATATATATATATATGCATGTGTGTCAGTAGGTGTAACTTGGCGTTGCTTCCCCAGCCCCACCCCCTCCTACCGCTGCGGCGGTTCCTCCGTCTCCCATGCGTGCATCCGCCGCCCCGCGTCTACGTCGATCTCCGCCAGGCGCTTTTCCACCCTAAAAGGCAGCCCCAACGCGTCGCAGAAGCGTCCCATCATGCGCGTCGCCCCACGTGACATCAGTGTCACAGATACACCAGGCCGCCCAAAGCGGCCCACACGCCCACACCAGTGCGCGTACTCCAGACCCGACCGCGGCTGCGCGAGGATGAACACGTGCGTGAGGGACGGCAGGTCGAGCCCGCGAACGTTGGAGCAGCCGGCGACGTAGCAGTGGCGGGTGGGACGAGAAGGGGGGGGCGCCACCTCCCTGGAGGAGAAGTCTGGACTCGGATTCGGACGCGAGGGCGTCGCCGCCGGTGGCGTCTCGGGGTTGCCGGTCTCTCGAAGAACACGCTTGGCGTCGACTCCGCTTGGTAAGGGGGCACCGTCGTGGCTCTCGTGGTGAAAAGCTGTGCCACTTTGCTCATGAGGGTTAGCATCATAAAACAGGGCTTCTTCGCGCGCCGAGCTGTCGAGCTGTTCGGACCTCAAACGCCGCGTTCTGGAGAGAAATTTTTCGGTCTCCTCCTTGCGTCGAAGCCGCTGTCGGGCCTTACGCTCATGATCCAACAAATTGATGGTATAGGTTGGCATGGGGTGTTCATCAGGAACTGCATCCTGGCTCCTTTCTCCTGCTTGAAACCCTTCTTGGCTGGGCACTAGAACCATTTTCACGAATTGCTCAACATCAGCGGTGTCTGGTATGATAAAGAGGATGTGGCTGACAGCGGTATCTGACTTCAACCTTTCCTCGCTGTCAGCTGCGTCCTGCAGCAAGTCAGAACCTATGCAGGACCGCCGCATTGCCCCTATAATGCACTCCGTCTGCTCTGCCAAGCTATCGGCGATATAGAAAAGGTGTGAAATGTTCTCTGGTACAGCTGCACGAGAGATAATCCCAGTGATATCCCTCATCCGCTGCTGATGAGTCTGCTCAGACTCAAAAAGGCGCGAAGACCTGTCGGCTAGCAAGTCTTTCTTCATAAAGCGACGAATGTGGTTCACAGTCGATCCTGCAAGTGTGGCGCTTGTGAATATCATCTGAACGGGTGCTTGATACTTAACATGACGAAAAAGCTCCTTCAGAAGTGCATTCCCAGGTGCCTTCAAGTCGGTCGAAGGCATTACTTCATCCACTTCATCCACAACAATCAAGTCTAGGGTAGGAATAACGGGAGTGAGGGAGAATGAGTGGCTTCGTTTGCCACGGCGGCGTTCGCGATTAAAGATAGCAGCACACCTCCTCTCGTAAAAAGTCCAGAAGACCTTCGGTGTCGACACAACGATGTAAGGTCGTTGGTCAATGGCACCAATGATACGCTCCGGATGTGCAGCATCCCGAACGCACTCCCTAGTTAAACGTCCGTACACCATATTCGGTGATAAATCTAGCGTGGCCGCCAGCACTAGGCGGTCGTCGTTCGGGTACCACCACATTGCTTTTAGCCACCTCTCTACCTGAAGGCAAAGACTATCGTTGCTGACAAGAATAAGAATAGAGAATAGCTTCATGGGCCCGCTTCGCATGAGTCGCGCGATGACGCCAAGACAAAGAGCGAAGGTTTTCCCGGTGCCTGTCGGAGAGCAGACGGCGACATCCTGGCTTGCGTACATGTGCTGCAAGATTCGGGCCTGTACCATGGTGAGACCCCTAAATTGGTGTGGGTGGTTGCCAGAGGTAAGGTGAGATGAGGGCTCTGTGAGATGACCCTGCAAGTAAGACACGAGCTGCGGTGGCAACCCCATCCGTTCGGGGTCTAACACTGCAACAGGCTGCTGTGAAGGATCGGCTCTGAATCCAGCGTAGTTGTCCGAGTATAAGGCGTCGTCATCAATAATAATCTCATCCAACTTGCGTAGGTCACGTAGCGGTTCGGGCCTCTTTGGCGTGAAGAGCATCGGACGGCAGTTAGAGGTGCGCAGATCCGTAAACTCATCAGGGACGTCACGGAAGCGCCGCGGTAACTTCTTCTCCGCCCTCCATAGTAGTATACGGAGTCGCACAAACATGAACAAAAAGAAGCAATGACCAATAAAAACGCTATTTCGAGAGCCTTTTCCCTTTGATATAAAGATGCACCTCAGATTATTTTGCTTGCATCTGTTTACATTCCTCAAAGTATCATAAAGTCAAAATCCATTAGGGAAATACATCCAATAAGATCAAGCTCATATCACCCGCACGTTGGTTGAAGTCCAACTAGAGTGAGAACAAAAAAATATCAAAACAATGTGGCGTAGCAGCACAAAAACAGACTCGCCATGCATGTAAAAGTCGATACATGAAGAAAGCTCCACTATTCAGACATATGCATAAAAAACTACACAGACGCACGGGTATGCAAAGATATTTATTGCTCAAAATGTGTCAGTCGAATAAGAACATAAATTCTTCAAAAGAAATGAGTGGTTGTCTAAACCACAGCTCTGTCGCGGTGGCATACAGATCAAGAGCGACTTCGTCTGCCTTCTGGACTTTCCGCACGACACCAAGCCCTAAGTATGACTCGACACAAAAAGGAGAGCGCTCAATGCATTTCTCAAAGTACACAGCTGCCTCAAGAAGCTTCACATATTTCTCACTTTTCGGGAGGTCGAGCTGAGATGCATCAAGCAGCCGCAGCGTGCCCATGAGAAAGTGCGCATCCGCGTGGTTTGGACACATCTCCACTACTTGGAGGAGGTGGGTGAACACAGTGGCCAACTCGCGGTGATCTATGGATTCAACAACCACTTTCAGCGAATTCGTGACACTGCCCCTGCGGCGGACCTCGTTTTCTCCTGTTGAAGAGGAAATGGAAGGGGGGGCAACCTTTGTGGAGGGCATAAAGCTGCCCAAAAGGTTGAGTTCACAAACCATTGTGAAGATTGGTAGCCGCGCTCCAAGCCGTAGCAGCGATAGGCGGGCACCACTGCACAAAAGATCAGCGAATGCCCTAGAGTGTGGCGTCTTCTGCTTCGCGATGAAATTCATGCCAGCCTCAATGGCAACTTCTGCAAATGTGTAGGCACCTAGCCGAACGCAGACATATGCAAGAAGAGACCAATAGTGCGCTGCTTGTCGCTGCGCCGCATGCGTGTCCATAACTTCATCACCAGGGGAGCGCTCGCCCAAGACGCGATAACGACAGAGCTCCTTGAGAGAGGGAGTTGTGTGATCACCAGAGGAGACATCCACTGGTTGTTGGGAAGCCACCTTCGCGGAATAGGCTTCCACACGGGCTAATATGATGGCCAGCTCCTTGCCTATAACATCATAGGCAACACTAGTAGCACTGCTCTCGCCAGAGAGGGGCCCCTCGGCTGGGAGGTAAGGAACCAGCGCCACGTTCTGCGTCACCTGCCGTAGCACGATGTGCAGTAACGCAGCGACAATATCCTCCTGGTTTGACTTTAGAAGGCAGGCAACCGTCGACCTCGCACTGCTGTAGTCTCCCGACACTGTATGTAGCAGCGCAAGGAGCAGCATCCCCACGTAATGTTCCGAGTTCACACGCAGGAGGTGCCTCACTCCCAGTTCAGCGGTTTTGGTGTCGCGCATCAATCCCATCAGCCAAGATAAACGGACAAGGTCCGCCCGGTTATCCACGTCAAGGTCCCTCGTATTCAGCAGCAGTGCCAAGCCAGAATTGGCGGCGGTAGCGGCCGACGCCAGAATCACATCCTGCGTGCTGCGACCCGGCACACACGCGGTGTATTTAAACAACGCCCACGCCAATGCCGTGTACGTCATGGGCGAGGGGTACTCTTGGATGGCCTTTTTCGCCAATCGAACGGCCTGCTCGGTCGATTCGGTAACACCGCGGGCGAGCCCAGCACGGGAGCCAGCCACGAGCAGCTGTGCTGCCTCCAGCCTCTGTGCTGCTGTTGGCACGCCTTCCTGCATGGCTGCCAGCATGTCGCTCTCGACCTCTACCGGCGTGTAGACATCGCCGAATGCATTAGCCAGGAGCGAGCTAGAGCTGGGCGCGGCGCCGTTCTCGGTTTGGGCGGTGTCGTCCCCTCGATTTGCCCCCTCCAGTAGCGCTTTGGCGGCTTCCTCGCACATAAACAGCGTTATTGGGGTCCTCTCAGCAGACTGCTCATCCAGAAGCTGTATAGCCAATTGCGTCCACTCAGCCAAAGACGTGGCAGGGGGATCGGGAATACCCCGCTCTATCGCCGAGTTGGCCTTCCCCTTGACATCGTTCGAATTTTGTGAGGAGCAGTGGGCGCCAGGCTTCATCACAGACAGTCCTCCTCACCCTTTTCTTAGCTATCCGATTGTTATTACTACCACTGCTGTTGAATAGCAGCGCGGCGGTAGATGCTGGTGCTAGCTATAAGACACTTTTATGTTTCCTACTTTAAATTTTAGAAGATGGCTGCACCCTTGCAAATCAGAAAGTCAAGCAAAAAGAAAAATCCATAAGAAGAAAATACCGGTGTAACTAAGGGTATCCCTGCCAAGGAGATAAACTTCCGTTTGGTGCTAAAGTTAGAACAAAGCTTAATGCCTTCCAGCTAAACGGTTGGCTTCCTTTCGCCTCTTTGCTTTTTTTTTATCTCTTCTGCTTTACTTGCAGCAAAAAAAAATGCTGACAAGGCGAGTAATATAGGAAATGTTCCTCAAGGTAGCAGTATCATGCCCCTCACACACAAAAAAAAAGAACTCAAATACAGTTGCTTCATACCCATGCTCGCTGGTTAAGATTAATAGAAAACGAAGCCGGTAGGGTTTCTTCGAAGTTGCAACGAATTTCTTCGCCATCTTCGATGGATTCAATTTCGAGACGCTCATTCAGTACACCACTTTTCAGTGTGTGGGAATCAAACTGCGCCTGATGCAGCGCATTTGACAACCGTATCGCCTCTTCTATAGTTGACATCCTAACCAAGATGGCACCGGTGAAAGTACCGGAGAGGTCATCGACAGACATTCGTATGGATTCAACTTTGCCATGCTCCTGGAGAAACACCTTAAGCTGGCCCTCGGTCGCCCAGTGCGGCAGGCCATCCACAATGACGTCGGGAACAAAGGACTTGTCTACACTAGTGACGCTGCTGCTGCTACTGCTACTGCTGTCGAGAGACGAAAGCGAAGAGCTGCTCGTATCGCTTACCCTTTCGAGGCCTGAGGCTGTACCACTGTGCAATCGTGCACGCTTATGGCGACCGCCATAACGATGGAAATTAGTTACTGTCGCGTTCGGCTCCTTAGACGGAGAAAGCCTCACGTAATAGGCAACACCACTGGTAGACTGCATAGCATCGAGATCAGCAATACAGTGCGTGTTATAACGTACGTCATGGAAGGCAATAAACAGAAGCTCCTTGTAGTATGCCCGATGCACAGCATGCACTGCGTTTTGGTGAGAGTCAACTGAAACAACAAAATCTTGAATTAATAGGCTATGAAGATTGCATTGAAACATGAGAAGCAACGATTGCACAAGATCTTCACTGAGAAGCCTAGGGGATTCAGAGAGACGTACGCGACGCTGAAGTGCACAACTGACCTGACCATAGCGACCGAAGTAAGGGTTAAGCGACTCTTCATTGAGTGGCAGCGTGTGAGCCATGCGTATGTAAATCGCGTGATTCGTCGACAACGCCATTGAAGACATTTTCAGATGCCGAACATAGAACATTGGTCGATAGACGGTATCCCGCTCAGATGTCCTACCCACACCTCTAACAGGAAGATCGCTGCCCGCCGCCTTGCCGGATGACGCGGGCTCCTCTCTTGAAAGCAAAGCCGAACGCGCTGCAGGGGTATGCTCCGCATCACTCGTTGTAGAGGCTTGGAGCATCAGTGGAGGGGGCATATTAGACGACGACGAAGGTGTTTGGGGCTGCGGAGGGGTCGCTGTGGGGGTCACAAAGACCCCCTCGGGGACCTCATGGCATGGCGATGGTGGCGTCTGGAGGGGGAGCTGGAGAAGAGCCGACTTCGGGGGGTGCTCTGGTCCCAGGTGTGGAAAGCTAAGGAACGATAAGATGCAGTCTGTGACGTCGTTAAGTGTGTATGTGAGGCCCTCTGCAGCACTGATCCTGGGGGTTAGCCATCGCCACAGACAGAGGTGTATTAGTTTAGTCAGCTCCTTCGCCCGTGGATCGAGGCATGCATAGAAGATAGGATACACAAGTGAATTTCCGGTAAACACTTCGTTAAGCGATGGAAGGAGATGCAACTTGCGAGCCAACTGAAAGCATCTGAGGTCTTGCTGAGCTGCGTCCATATAGAATGAGCTTTCCCCGCTGTTAACGTGGGACTTCGTCCTTATCATGATCGCCTTTAACTTAGCGCAAATTCTACTTATTAAGTCTATCTAAACTAAATTAAACTTAGGCGAAATAAAATGTAGCTAACGATAAGTGCACATTATGTTAGGACAAAGATTAAAAATGACCCTCTGGTGCAATTATGATGCTCATGTTATGATCTCTGTCTCCTCACGGGGTATCTTTACCTCATTCCTTTCATGATAACTTTCGTTTTAAATAAATTAATCGATGCTTAGCTAATTATAGGAAGTTGTTTGTCAGGCAGGATGCACAATTATACACGGTATAGGAGGGATAATAAGGTGTCATCTTTGTTTTTTGTCGAATGTCACGATGTTCCCGCTCCCAAGACTTTGTAGATATGCTTCTAAAAATTTTCTCAGTCAACTAATAAACGCTCCCGAATACCCCCTGACAAGCGATAGGCCGCCTCAGGGAAAGACAAAAGCACCTGCGGAGGTAGAGGGCAGCTACACAACTGGTAGAAATCTACTAACCCGCCAGCCTCATCCACAGCCACAGTTATGACTCCCTCGCAAACCATCTCCTCTATCGCAGTCGTATCGACCAGAAAGCTCAGAGGCTCTCTGGAGAGAAGGCCGAAGGTGCAAGCAACCGGCACACAAGAGAAGCGCAGACTCCTTTGTTCAACCACATCGCCATTAGGAAGCTGAGCCCGTGGTAAGGTTAAATTGTACAGTGCGGCCACTGCAGCATGAAGCGCCGAGGCTCGCAACGTACCATCCACGTTTAGCAGTGTCAGATTCACGGTTAGGACCCAACATGCCTCATTAACGTACACGCACAGCTGATGGAGGTCTAAACAAGATTCTAGGACACTTCTCACATAGCCCTCTGTCTGCCGAAGCGGATAATCTGCTAAGCCGTTGGTGATAGCAGTGTTGCTCTGATTACCGGCTGAAGCAAAGCCGCCGTTATCCTTCAAAAAAGGTGCCGTTACAGAAACATTGAAGCGGCCCTCATCTGGTGTCTGTGTATGCGGAGGGCCGAACACGGCGTGCACGTCCGATATAATACTAGTACCGTAGTCATCAGTGTACAAGACGGAAGACAGCAAGCTATCCCCGCCTTTACTTCCTGTACTCCCTGTGAGCGTGGCGCCCACATTACGCGAGACCTTGGGAAGCCGTACATCGCTCATCCCGCGCTGATCTAGTCTCTCGCCCACCTTTAACTTCTCTGAAATGTACCTCCTGTAGGTCGCCAGCTCAACGGAGCCAGTGTCGCATGGAAGGGACATCGCACCTATGAATTACAAAAGTCTAACAAGTGGGCTTAAAGGTTGTATGGTGCAGAGAATTATGCTATTAAGACTAGCGAGGACACATCCCATGAAAAAAAGGAAGGAAGACAAACTTACAAAGGTTAATAACACTTTGATGGAAAATGCCCTCCCACTCCGTCCCAAATGAACTGGATAACGAGTATACTTAAATAAACATTTTATGCATGCATATCGATTTTCGATCATATGTTTCGGTTTAAGACAGAAAAGTATTCAAATAACAAACTACTATGTTAAATATTTCTCGCATAAAACATTTGCAATTTACAGAGGAAAAAATGCAATCACAGGTATAGATACTATTTAGATAACCAAATCACATGAAATAAACGGTTATCTTGAATACACATACTTTCTAAATATTTGAACTACTATGACCTCTACCGCCAATTTTCCTTCGTGAAAAACGTACTCTTCTCATCACTACTACTATAATAGTTCAAGGATTTCAAAATTAACCCAAAAGGAAAGAATAGCCATAATTGAGTGCATAAATATATCTTTTTTTTTCATTTATTTCTTCTTTTTCAAATGCTTCGGGGTATAAGGATCAGCGCCTCCCATCATAATCCTTTCGATATCATCCTCAGATAATAATTTTGGCTGTAAATATTGTGGAAGGTCATTGAAAGAGTCGTAGATGACCTGAGTTATCTGTGAAGCTTTATCAGTGATCGTCTTTACCATGGGTTGTTTTGCTTCAGTAGGAAGCATGACCTTTGATACTTCCGGGGACAGTTTCACTACGGGAGGCACCACCCCACTTTTAGCAATGGCATGAGTAAAGCGGATAAGGGGCACATACCTGCACACAATAGTACTATTAAGTGACATGGTTACCTATTCGTACGTATGTATATAGTAAAATAATCTGCTTGTAAAACACACTAAAGAAAACAAAAGGATGAAAAGAACATTCTAAAGAGATTTTCAGAATTTACCCTATTATCCAGGTGGAAATAGCACCTGAAGAGGTGCACAAATAGCAATAAAAAACTGCGGCCTATAGTTGTCTCAATTTTAATGGTGTGATGATTAGTAAGGTAGTCTTTAGGAACAGAAAAGGATTTATCGCCCTATAGATCCCCTGATCTCTTCACTTTTTTTTTATCCTACCTCCAAGATAACTCGATCAAGGTGTAACCGACAAAAGATGCGGACAAAATATCTACATCTATTACCCCAGCCTGAAGACGATCAACATGAAGGCGCATTGCTGTCTTGTTCCCATGGCCACCGAAGTCCTCCAGTATTTTCTCCACCACAACCTTTAGAGCCTCCAATTTCATATTGGTAGAGCACTGAAGCAGCATAAGTCGGGCAATTTGTGTTGGGTATATGTTCACTCGAAGCAGCTGATCTTGCCATGCATGTATCAATTCGCAAACCTCTCGACTATCCGCATGAGCATCAGCTACCGTTGCCATCATGAAAAACGAAGCCGCATGGAATAGTTTCGTTGCCCCCTCTCCTTGATCTTTCAAAATTTCACCCAAATTCAAAACACCAACGCAATCTTTTTGGTCAAACCTAGTTGTGAATTCGCGGATAGTCGCACTCAAAGCAGCAGTAAAAAGCATTGTGGCCGCCCGTGAGTCTGCGAGTGACGCAGGCTTGTGTTTGCCGGCACCGGAAGAAGCCGCTGACGCGTCTGCTGTTTGGGGTATCTCCCTTGGAAACAGCCCCACAATAAACGGAGATGCGGATACTGTGTCAGAGCCCAGAAGCAATGTGGCCACCGCGGAACAGGCGGTGCTCAAAGCCTCAGAATGTCTCCAGAACACTGGGCGCGCGGCACACAGGAGATCCTTGGCGGATTCGTCTTTTGGCATTGACCGGTGGAGATACCGGCGGTGCAGATTGTAGCACAAGTGATTATGAAGCCCAGGGAACGGCACATGAACGGGTGCCTCCATAGAACCACAGATGCATCTTAGCGCGGGTCGTACAGGAATCCCCGGTGGGCTACCCTGCGCACAGTTGGCAATGTCCTCCCACCGCACCCCTCGATTGACGACGGGGTACAAAACCTCTAGCTCGTTCTCGTCGAGGCACACGAGCACGTGAATATCCTTCTGAAGTGGCGCGGCCGCGAGCACGGCATCCACGAGCGCCTGCTCCTCATGTGAGAGTAGATCAGGCGGGTGGTTGGGACCGCATAAGGGGCTCTGCGGGCCCCAATTGTGCACGTCGCGATTCAAAAGGACCACCAATGATAGGGTTGACTGCCACCGGAGCTCCTGTAGCCCCACGCCAGGATCGCCGCGCACGCTCGTCTCTGAGCTGAGCTGCGCGACATAAGCCATTTTAAGAGAGCCACGCATGACCGCAGGTAGCTGCGCGGCCCAACGGTTGAGAGAAAAAATCAGCCGCTTCTCCTCTAGCGTAAGCAGAAAGCAACCTCGCACAGTAGAGTAGCCCTCGCAGGTTGTGGCCACAAAACTAAAACCCCGATTCTCCTTTTCTTCTACCAGTGCCCCCCCCCCCCCGTCATTAGACGGAGAATAAACAAGCTCCAACTCCTGCAGAGAGTGCGGCTTTACCGGAACTGAAAGAGGTTCTAAGAAGTGAACCATCGGCGCATTGTAGGCAGTGCGGGTGGTTTGATGCTGACGACTCGAAGAGGCTGCCTCGGCTACGGTGTGAAGCACACGTCGCAGCGCTTCCGATTTGAGCTCTGCAGAATTGAATGCGCTAGACACCATCCAGGGGCAGTGTTCGCAGCTCCGTCGGGCAGCCGACATGCATGGCAGCGGTTGAAAGGGAGAAGAACGTAGGCGAAGCCGTCGATCCTGTGGTTTAAAATTAAGAACACTGCAATAACGTGCGTCCGGTAGTCGTGCCTCGTTGACAATGCTATGATAAGAACTCAAGGAAGCCTGGAGAACCATACCTGGAGTGACTCCAGGTAAAGTCACACGGGATTTGTTCTTTATCAAGTAGGCTGTTTTATTGAATTCCTGTGATGTCACCGAAGAATTCTGCTTAGTCATCCTCGGTTGAGTGGGTTCAACTTGTGCAACAACGCATTGGCATCCAGTAGGTGTCATGCGATTCCCGGAAACTATGGTGAAGCCGCCTCGATGGCGGCTGCCAGAGCGAAGCAGCAGATCCTCGATCCGCCCACTTATCGTCGCAAATAAGGGCGTCTCTAGGTTATGCTAAATCCGACGTCAGCCTTAATTTCAGGAAGAGCCTTGGAAATGGAGAAGATTCAAAACAGAAGCGTAAAAATAAAGAGGAAAGCGTAATGCATCAAACAAGCGCGACTGTTAATATTTACACCCATGGGCCTATATAGTGAAAAAAAACGGATAAAAGGAGAAGCAAAATAAATAAAATTCATTTACTTTAACTCCTTACATTAAGGAAAAATTGAATAATAAAGAACTTTTTGGTAGCCAAACGGAGAAACAAATCCCTCATATTATACACACTTGAGCTTAAATGCTGTTCTTTTTCTTTTAAACTATAAGTGGTAAACAGTCATAATATCATCTATTAATACGAAATGAGTCTATTTTCTATCTATTCAACAGCTGAAATCAAAACATGCTTGTCCTTTGCAAAAAAAAAAGGTATAGGTAGACATATTTAGCATGCCCACCTGCCACCCCCCTCCATGAAAAAAAATCAGATAACAAGTGAAGATGGGTAATACTTATACTGAGGAAGAGCTAGAGTACCCTTCGAAGCTGTCATCACTGTAACCAGTGCGCTGCTTTACTCTTTGTGGTGCTGCCTCACCCACCTTAGGGGCATCTGCAGTTCCAGGACTCGAGGGGGACGAGCCAATATTGGACTTATAGCTCCTCTTCTTGCGCAAATAATTTGATGAAGAAGAAGAAGAAGAAGAGGAAGAAGAAGAAGAAGAAGAACGAGTGCTTTTGGATGAATCACGTGTGCCAGGATCCTTAGTGACCGGTGCCGGTTCTGCCACACCTCCTTCAGTCTTCTCAGCTCTATCTACGGGTGTAGGTTCCCCCGCTTCATCACTTACAGCCACTGCAGTCCCCGCGACGAGCTCATCCATGTTCTCAATCTCGGAGCCGCCGCTGTCCACAGGCCTTGTGATTATATCGCGAATCGTTCCCGAATCGAGACCTGATTGTTTCAGCATCTGCAAAATCTCCTTCTCACCCTCCACTCTTGCCTTGGCAAGGCTGTTGAGTCGGGTGGGTTCCACAAATATGGGCGGTATCTGCGCTACACGTTCCTTCATTTCCCTCAGTCGCATCTTTGCGGCCTTTTCATTTTCCCTCATAGCGGTGCGCAACTCTTTTAGCTTGGAGCGAATCGCGGCCTCTTTTTCAGCATGTGGATCACCAAGATATTGCGCGAGGCGCTTAGATACCTCTCTTCGACGCTTGGCGATCTCTTTCAAATAGGCCTGTTCCACCTCGGGAATGAGGTCTTTTTCCTTTATCTTCTTTATGTATTTGCAATAGACCATCTCTGTACGTAAAGCGTGAGCACGCGTGCCTTTAGGTATCACCTTCGACTGAGTGCCACTAGTCATATCGTCTTCATTTCTTTCCTTCTTAACCTCGTCACCCTGAGACTTCGCATGACGAGCAAGCCGTGCCTGCGCCGAGGGGGCACGTTTGACGACAGGCTGAGAAACCGACCTCGTCGGACGTTTCCCACAGGCAATCACGTCCTTTGCGCTTGGAGTTAAGACGAAAGGCTGTGGAACAGTTGGCAGCGGCTTCTTCTTGCGCATCGAAGCCTTCTCAGCCAGGTCGTGTGCCCAGATTTTGTGGAACTGGGGGACGCCCGGCCGGATCATCGGATGAAAGGTTAAGTTGGGATTGTACAGCGTGGCATCTTTCTCGGGGTGGTGAAGTTTCTCCGCAGCGACCGCCGCCACGGCCGCACCTTCCTGAACAGGTCCCGACTGAGGCGGTGGTGACGAGGAAGAGGGTACTGGGCTCGTGCCGACGGCGAGAGGACGTCCCACCCCAAACCACCCCTCCTGTGGCTCCGTAAAAAGCTTGATAGGCGTCGGGTTCGTTAACAATGGCATGACCTTTCGCCTGTGCTCATCCACCTCTTTCTTGAGCCCTATGGCGCGCTCCTTAATGCGCTCCTTGCGCACCTGCTCGTGCTCCTTGATCGCAGGCCAAAACCGCATGCGCACCTCCAGTGCAATGTCCTCGGGCTGGGTAATGGACAGGCCCTGTTGCCGACCACCCCTACCGTCCGCGCTCTGCACGCGTCTCCGCTGCTGCTCGCCATCGAGTTCACGGTAAGGGCCCAGAACGCCCTCTCTCGCGTGCCGCAAGCCCATGGCTGAGAGTCGAATAAAGGCTGACTCCTCACGCGCCCGCTCGGCCTGCTCTCTCGCGAGCCTTTCCACGGCTACCTTTCGTTCTCGCCATTCTTCTACCATGAGGTCGTATTTATTCATAAAGGTAGTGGGAGGCACAGGATTGGCTTGAAAAGGCGTGTGTAATACCTTATCTAGCTCCTCCTCCCTTTGGCGTCGCTCTTCAAGCATGCGATTATCATGAATTCGAGGAGATTTCATTAAATCACGGGAAGCAAAAGAGAAAGGCTTTACTTTCAAATGCTGTTCGCGTCGTTTTTGATAGCCCGAGTAATCACTCACCGCAGTAAAGTACTTTTGAAGGGCCCGCCTAGCACGGCACTGGTGCTTATTCTTTAAATGCTGCAGCTCCTGAAGACGGTCGTGAAGAGACATGTTCTCTGTGTCTGCTAATTGAGCAACATGTGTCTGGGAACTTGAAAGCGGATCCCATTTGCCCTCTTCGGTCCCAGCATTTGGAACGATCTCCTGGACCTGACGATAATCAACAAAGTCCGCACAGGTGTTTACAGCAGCCGTTCCGCCATCGCGTAGCTGACTTTCAAGTACTAATTGCTTCTGTTTAAGTTGTTCAATTTGTTGGGATAGTAAAACATCCATAGATTGAAAGTCTAATAATAATAATAATAGTAATAATAATAATGGCTAAATAAAAATATTCCATAAAATTGATTTATGCGGGAGGGAGAATATAAAATAAGTACAGGAAGATCCTGTCAGCATAGGATGAAAAATAGAAGCAACACAGGAAATGTAACATAGGTATCAATTCATGTATTATCGTTCAGGCAAAAAAAAGTGACAATCTATTATGAGCAATGCCACTGATATATCACCCTCGTGGAGCAGGATAATTTCACTTCAAAAGTGGATGCACCTTATAAAAACGTTGGAGCTGTTATCGAAGGGGCTTGGTGTGGGCATTCATAGCGCTCAAGGGAAAGGTGTATTTAATTGCGCGCATGGAAGACACAATGATAGGTATAATATTGAAGACAGGGGTCTAAATCATACCCTTAGTTTGTGAGTTTATTGAAGCGAAACTTAGTTTATATATCATTTGAAATAAAATAGAGCTTCATGCGTTTCTTAAAAGGGGACGAATCAATCCTACAGTAAATACAATAAGATTATGTATGCAAAGGAAAAGAAATGAAAAAGATAGCTACTGAAAGTACATTGCTCAATAATATTCACAGGTGTCAATCGAAACTCGGAAAAAAGAATGCAACCCTCTATGTAATTTCTCTTTATTTTTTTAAGATTGCTTATGAATCATTCAAGGTGATAAAAAGATAAAACTAGAGTTAATTATCAATGTTGTCAACAACGTCTGCTCCCTCAAAAAAAAAAAAGGAACAAAACCTATACTATTTGAGAAGACGGACCTCCATAACGAAAGAAACTTCAGCCACAACAGGTTGACAAATGTTGTGTTCATTCAAAATGACAACGGGCACAAAGCAAGCACGTGGACAAGCTAAAAGCATATACGGTACGCAAACATAAAAGAACATAGAGTTAACATCCACAGTGACGTGGCAGCACACTACATAATGGCAAACTCGATGTTTAAGAATCGATTGTTGGCGATATGGCCCTAGTGATGTCTGTCACTTTGTCGTATCGTCAAGTAAACTCCTAGACTATAAAGAGGTGGTAGGATAAAAAATCTGTTTGCCCTACACAATCATGAGCAACCTTATCTTTGAGTTTGTAGCACTCCACACCCGTTTTCTTTGGTACCACAATGCCGCTAGCATAGCTATTGGAGCTCAGAACCAGTGTTAGCGTGTTGCGCGCGCCAGCGCCGCAGTAATCCCTCAGCCTCTAACCGCATCAATCGAGCCTCCTCATTCTTCGCATCATCCTTGTAGAGCAGTAGCAATGCTGAAAAACCAAACAACACTAGTGCATACGCACGTTGATTCTTTTTGAGAGCCTCGTTATTCATGCACTGCCGCATGCACTTCTCCGACTCGTAAAGCCAGCCCCGAGAGTCTCCCTCAGGGGTGCGTGTGGCCATCACAACAAATACCTTCGCTAAGGCGATGAGGGTGTCGCACTGCTGGCTCTCCACAATCTCCCGCATCCCCGGCACGCCCGCACAGGGATTAGCACGGTGAATACGGCATAACGCCACAAGCGTTGCACGTGCTTCGCGGATACGTCGCCAAAACTCAGATGCGATAGGGCTCTTGAGAGCATACTCCATGAGCAGCGCAGATAGGGCGTGAAGCGAGCGCGCATAGGATATGTATTCCTCAACGGTTGTGATGGCGCCTTCTAGGCGATTGCAGTAGAAAACAGCTGAAAATAGAACATGTGCCTGGATAGTGATTTCAGTTGATGGACTAAAAACGTACAGGTAATTCAGACACGCCGCGGCTAGAGACACGCAGCCACTGAGAATAGCGCTACGATTAACCTCTCGCAATAGGACACACAAAAAGTCAATAACATCCTCTTCCGTGGGGGTCTGCGGAGATGCGGAGACTCTAGTACCATCATCATTCTCTTTAGGCGCAGGCGTAATGAGCTTGTACCTCAGGCCCTCTTCTTTGGCTGACTTAAGTGTACACAGATACAACTCTATAGCACACCCTAGCGCGTTGCCGCTATCCACCAGAATCGTGAAGCAGCCTTCCTCTAAGCAGCGCCACCATGCCACCAGTCCGGTATCGTCATTCACCTCCGTTGCTACACAACCAGATTTGAAACGGTAATTCTTTTTCAGTATGGGACAGAGCAGACCGTGCCCTTTGCGCATATGACTATTGAGGCAGTCACGACTACAGTACTGGGTCATCTCGCACTCGTCACAGGTGTACCCGATGGCGTACACCGGATCCAGACAGAGCGTACAGCGCTTGCCATAATAAGGCTTGAGTAAAAAGCGCAACGTATGGGCCATCTTAAGGGGTTTACCGGCCACGGAAACGGACACCGACCCGCTGGTCCAGCCACACGCACGGAAGCCGTTACAACTGAACACGACGTCCTTCAACTCCTTTGGCTCTGTTAAACCCAACAGCTCCCCCTCGACCGTCTCCATGTGCACTTCCAAACGGAAGGTGGAGATTCCATCACCGTCCTGGACCATGTCGAGTTGAGGCCGATACGCTCCCTCAATGAACACATGGCACTTACGATCCTTTTGATGAACCGGTACGATAGGCACGCCATCCGGCACGGTTTGGTTTGCCACCACCTCCCCGGTACGCTTCATTCCACGTGCTGCGGTGCTGGCCAGGGACGGGGTCGGTGAAAAGACTTTAGCCTCACCTTTCACAAAGCACACATCGTTTCCAACATTCATACGAATAAGGACATGCCACTGACTGAACTCAACGAGCGAGCAAGGTGGCTGTGCAGGGGCCTCAGGTGAAGGGGACGCAGCGTTACCTTTGGGGGATTTTTGTTCCATTTTAGGTGCTGCGTCGGGAAAGATATTGGAAAAGTGCATCGTGTAAAGGCCTGAATGGCCCTCTCGACTAACCTCCATGTTGAAAAAAGCGAAGAAAAAAGGTTTTATGAATCTTTGATCTGTTGCTATCCTTTTAGTCGCTGTTGAAGATTCAATTCACTTTTGGTCGTTTTTTCAGATGGGAAGAGGAATAAATAGCCATGACATGCACAAGCTGAGACGCACGGCTACATGAAGTTATTAGATCAAAAATATATTCTTTCCGACTGAACCTCCTGAAGATACCTTCATTTTTATAGTTCCAGGGGGAAAAAAATAGGCCAACTCTTAATTAGCCACCCAATCAGCCAAAACCACTCTTTTAGTTATGTAAGAATGTTTCGTCATATTTAATCGATTTTAAAAAGTTAAGAGAATAATAACAAGTACTGTATAAACCGGTGCAAACTGCACCACTGTTCATGCAGTTACTATGTCCTATCCTCCTGGTTCTCACTTTCTGCCTCAAAGCCAATTGTCGTTGTGAAGAATCTCGCGTAAGCATATCGTTGCATAGCTAGACGACGGCAAGCTGAAGGACACTACAGCATCCATATTCTCAGAATCCGAAAATTCAGGGGATGTTGGCTGCGAGATAATTTCTAACTGTGTGTCCTGAGGTATGACGATCAGTTGTCGCCAAGAACCAGGTACAGGAACCCCAACCACCCTCGACTGGCCGAAGAAAACCTCCCGAGGGAGACCCAAGACCTCCAGAGCATGCTTCTCGGCTTCTGCCAGCCACAAGGGTTGCGCTTCCACTAGCAAAGAGTTGTCGCATCTCGAATCACTGACACCTTTCTTGATACGGTACCCACCAAGCGGCAGCTTCAAATCTTGAAATGCACGCCCATTAAAAACGCTATCATCGCTGCTGAGTGGTGCGGCGGTTGTCCTGTGAGTCGTTGGTCGTGCGTTGAGAAAATGTTCGGCAACGTAAGAAGCAGCAACGTTAAAGTACAGACTCTGTGCTGCATGAACCCACATAGAGCGAAGCGCAAAAGGTACGGACTCTGTGATGGCCTTATCACATATACGGCACCATAGTGCGCTCTTTTCTTGTACAGCCGCGCAAGTCAGGGTGTGTTCCGAGAAGTACATACGATAGGTTCGGTACAGGGCATGGGTCATGATCTGTGCATCCCTGGCATTTTTGGGAACATGGCGCGCCTCCATCGTGTCAGGAAAACCTTCATACACTTGCGGGCAGGTGCGATAGAGGCTCCTTACAGCTTCTACCCACCGCCCTGCGAACAGATGCAGTCCTGTGTGATCCCGAATATCGGTAATCGATTCACTAAAGCGCTGCTGTCCGAAATAATTAATGAATCCGCGCGCACAGACACGTTGAAATCGTTCCTGAAGTGTATGTATGGTCAGATCCCGAATGCGCTGTGAGCCGCCGTGAGGTTCAAAAGCAGTCATATCTCGAACATCGCGCAGGGGTGTTACCTGTCTTAAGCGAATCATGAAATAATTCCCACGGAGCTGTCCAATCTGGAGTGGTACAGGATAAGGCTTCGGCACGACGTGATGGATCCGCGCGTAGCTCCGCTGTGGGTCGCTCGGCCAGGGGAGCACCACTCCTTGCATTTTTGCCTGGGCTTCCTGAGGCAAAAGAAGATCGGGGTACCAACCCGGTATCGAGACGCGTTGGTAGGTTACAGCCTTCTTATCCTTGAGACCTGCAGTGCAGACACTCGATCTGGAAACAGAAAAGTATCCTGCTATCAGTTGTTTCATCTCTATCACATCGAGATTGCGTTTAAAAACAACAAAGTAGGTGTATGCCTTCTGTGTGAGGTGGTTCCCATTCGGGAAACAGAACATTTCGTCGGTACGAATGCGCTGACATGATCGGCCCTCCTCTTCTTCCCCCGCCTCATCAGGCACTAATGATCGGGGTCGCTTCCACTCATTTGATCGTTGTTTCGAGAGCATTTTAAACGTAAATTTTCCATTAGACACGTAACATTTAATAAATGGATAAAACCTTCGGAGGAGGTCGTGAAATGATCGACGAACATCCTTTTCCGACATTCTATTCGCATTGATATCCGTTTGATTCTCGCCGGTACCCCTGTCGTCACCCGGAGAGAAAAGAGAGCTTCGAAAGTGTGCTTGGAAAGAAGTCCCCACCTCAGGAGAGAAAAAAGACGACGAAGCTGTTGAGGCATGACAGGACAATGCTTCTTGTTTAACACGAAGATGTTGTTCTATTACCTGCCACTCCTCCTTTACATCGGGGGATACTAAATTGAGTGAGTCTTGATGATGTATCTGAGCCCATTCTACCAGCGTTTCGGCTACTTTACGCCCAAATAAAAACGTGAAGAATATGTAATGGGGATCAAGCCCCACAAAGATATGTGAAGTCTGCAAACTACTGTCCTCACGCTCTCGCAGGACACCTGCTTCGCTTGGCAAATGAGCAGATGGCGGTGCAGTAGAAGTACAGGACGCAGACCAAATTCGGGAGCGAATGTGTAGAAAGCGTGAGCGAATGGAGTGGTGGAGTACACGACGCTCCGTCTTGTCCAACGAATGGGATCCTGGAATACTCAATGTCCACTCCTTTTCCCACCAGCGCGTTGTTGAACTTGGGTGTCCTACCTTTATGTACTCGATTAAAAAGGGAACTTCTTCAAGAGTCAAGCACTCAGCACGTTTTGCCATCATAAACGCCTCACAGTGATCTCTTTGGATAAGCGTCTCAAGCTCTTGAAGGACTGAAATGACACGGCACGACAATGGAGACTGAGATGTGGTTGCCTCATCAACACCAATACTGTCATAATCAGTGCTATGAAGTTGGCCTCTGATGAGTATCTCCTCAGCATTTTCTTCGTCGTGACCTCCTGAGCCAACAAAAGCGGTCTCATCCTCTTTAATGTCAGTGCTACTACCTGCTCCATTCGCTGCTAATGGATTAATGAATCGATAATTTTCATGATCAGTACGCTGCCCTGTAGGATCAATCTCCACAACAACAAAGTCCTCAGGCTCAGTCTTAAACTTCGCTGTGAGGGAAATGTTCACTGGGGAGACCCCCTCCGAGCGCCCACTAGAACCATGGTCAGCCCAGAAGTATTGAATGCCACAGGCACTTAGCATTGCTTGAATGTAACTTTTCTATTCCTCGTCTTTCCGTGAGTATTTTTTTTCACTCTGTGGTGGAGCACTGGTAGAGGTGACAAACTTCTTAGATTAAAGCGTAAAGACAATAAAATATGCAAGCAACATTTTGGTATTTGGTCAAAAGGTTTTAATGATTCAACGAAAAAAAAAATACCCAATGAAGTACTAAACTTTTGATTGTTTTTCCACGCTTAAAACAACGTGTTTCAATGATAGAAACTGCAATAAATGAAGTAGAAATAAAAAAGGCTTCCAAGGCAATCGAATAGTGTAACAAAATGAGAAAGAGAGTAAGGGTCTTCTATTGTGTAAATAGTATTGATACTCGCTTCCCTACTTCCTTGGTTTTAATGGACAGGGTAAACTGATTCACTAAATAGAAGGGAAACCGAGCTTCGGATAACGCACCCATTGTGAATATGTTTCCTTGTTTTTCCTCACACCTAATACTCTTTTTATTTTCATTCATGGCATGGACAAAAACACTTTAAAGAACGACGGCAATCTGGTTCCCTCCCCTTTTTAAGGAAAAAGGGGAAATAAAAAGGGTGTAATAATAATTAAAAAAGCTGATGTGAACCCCGTCGACCTTGTGAGTCACAAAGAAAAACATTCAAAACAGACAAAAAGACGATAGTTGATATCAGGTACACAATCCCTGGATCATATTAATTCCTTTTTCGTGCCTTCACACTATGTTGGAATTCTTCTCGAACCTATCTTTAGCTTCCGCTAGCTGCATCGAGTAACACGTTAACAAGTGGTTAAGCCCCCGCATATAATGATTGGGATGATGGTGAAAGACAGCCTCAGGAAAAAGGATAAGTTGTGAACACCAAGTATCATCCTCCCCTACCTCAAAGCAATTATGGTCCTGGGTATCCGATATGTTCAGAAACTCCCCAGGTACGGCTAACGTCGGTAAAATCCAGTCTGGTATATCGCAGTTCCGGTTGATATTCTTCCGGGATATATGCTTTGTATCCGTCACATGTTCAAACATGGTACTTTGATCAGACGACGAGGAATGCTGCTCAGTTAGTATTTGTCGAACAGAGCGTGGCTGCAGCCTTGACACCAAATCCTTTCCATAACAAAAGTTAATAATACGGCTTCCCCCACGCTCCCTATCACAGTCTAGTTGGAAATTCAGAGTCCGTAGTATCTTCTTCTCTAGGAGGGGCGGTGCACCAAAAGCAACCGTCTGCACATTTTCAAAAGACACTGCACGAGGAGCCAACGCGCCCTTGGGCCGGAAGCAATACAAAAGATAAAAGAGCACTGCTATAGCACCCCCTAAGGAGTGTCCGGTGATGATAAGCTGGTAGTTGGGGTAATAGGTGTGGATAACACTTAGCTCAGGCACCACACTATGCGCCGCCTCCCTCACAGCTCGATAGAACCCCAACGGAATCCGAGTAACAAGGCTTTCTCCCTTGAGTTGATCTTCGGTGACCTCCAGGGATAACCCCGACCTATTTTGCCCACTCGCTTTGCTAAATCGCCTCCATTCCGGCGCTGTCAAATTCGCCGATTGGCTGCACGATGCAGTTCTACCAGATTCAGCACTCACACCCCCCAGTGCATCTGGCTGCGCGAGATTCACTTGCCTATAACCATCCGTTATGCATGTAACTACGTCCGATAATGTCAATGGGCCACGAAAAGTCAGCACTACGCGTCGTTTCGAATGGTCCAGTACAACCGCATAGCAAGGATGGCCAATACGAGTTGAGTAACGACTCATTGCGAACTCCATGTGATGATCCACTTCCTCCTCGTGCAGCATGCGCCGCATTGACTCAATTTGCTCGTCGGAAGTAGCACATGTGTAACGGCAGTGCGGCCTAGCATGCAACTTGGAAATATCATTAGGTGAATTGAAGTAGCCCAACTCATAAGGAAGACCATAAGCAGCAACAGCAAACCGTACCGTGTACGCAGCCAAATCAAACAGATCCACCTGAGTCTGAAGGCGTCCTAATGCACCCTCAGAAATGTTTTGGCCCTGCGAAAACGGCCTACTAGTGTGTTGCTTTTGCTGGGTCCATGCTTTATACACCATCTCATGGGATCTTGAGATGCCTACAGCATTCTTAATACTTTTTGTGAGGTAATTATACGTCAGGCTAGATCGTTTGAGCTGTGCCTGCAGCTCGCGAATAAAGTAACGGGATAGTGAAACCACTGAAGGAGAACCGAGAACCTCGACAAGAAAAGGGTCTAAGTAGCGTAGCTCAGCCACTTCGGTATCGTTCATAATAGTGTTGGCAATGTCCGTAGATACTGCTCGTGTGCTGTGCTCCCCATTAATTACCTCGTGCCCTTCGAGAAGGCTTCCTCGCGTTGCCACCTCGTTAGTATCCGTGGCTTTTGCAAGCGAAACTTTCAGGAATGATCTGTTGGGTAAGATCCGAGTCGTAGCTTCTTTGGGTACAATTGATGGGACCGCGGACACAAAACTATTGGTTGCACTACTCCTTGCCTCACTACATAATTGGGTCCCTTGAAGGTCCTCACTTCCTCCACGAGCTACAGGCTCGCTATCCGCCTTGCTTCCGTCGGCTTCATGGTGCCCCTTCGCATCTAAAAACCCATCACAGATATCGCAGCGGTAGCACGTCGGTCGATTAGGAATGATGTTGGGATGGGCCACAAGTGGTGGCATCCGTCTAGACCAGATCTTTCGCATATGCAATGCCTGTCGACGTCTGACCTTAGTGGTTAGAAACGATGGCGTGCTTTCCGTTGCATCGGCTAACCATTCATGTGTTTGGCTATCATCACCAACGGTCCGTGATTTCACACCCGCAAATGGTGACTTCTCCACGGGGGGCACAGCGGTGGTGTCCATTGGTGCATCCGATGACAGGGCGAACTCTGAGGATGTCAAAGGGAGATTGCCGCTGTTAGAGGGCAGCATATCGTATGGGGATGGGTATGGATAGCACAGGGTGTAGAGGGGATAACGACAGCGGCATATTGGGTCGGCCTCACCAGGCCCCAGTGTACGGTGCTGAACTGTAAAGGCATATAGTGGTCTAACCCATTCTCGTAGTATCTGTGACAGGCGTGACGGAAGAAGCTCAGTTCCAGTGCGGCACGTCATACGGATGTGTCGAAGCATTATCTTAATTATCTATTCGTGTTATTACCGTGCAAATACGACGCTAATTATTCCACCCCTTCCTCGTGTTTGTGTGTATCTGTGGAGGGAATACGAAGGAAGTAAAAGTTGATCAAATCACAAATAAGCGCACTTTCTCCTTGACCTGGTGGCCTTGATGTTATTTTTCTTCCTTGTGTTGCTCTCTTCGCTTGTGTAACTATGCGAATGCGCAGCTCACAACCAGGCCAGAAAGAGGAGCAAACAGATCAACGCGCTTATACCAGGGTATTCCTTTTAATTACCCTAGTGGGAAAATGAAAGGGGGTGAAAAGCAGTATGGTGGAACCGCTTTGAGCAATGCTTGACAATCCACGAACCTAACCATAACAATATGATATAAAAATTTATTTATTTATTTATTTATTTATTTATATAATATTCTTTGATAAAGAGAAACTAATGTTGAATTTCCCCATCATCAGATTTCTGAAACGGATCCCAAAGTGTATAGTGATTTTATACAAAGGCATATAGAGGCCTCATCGAAGGGGGTGTCTTCAAAATTTACATCAAACCAAAAGGTATTCAGAAAAACACTAACAACAATGGAAGAATATTACATTCACAGACTACAAGTAGATTAGACAATTCATTCTAGATGTGTCTTGAATTCCGAAACCTCTAACTTGTCCCCACAATGCTCTCTGATCTTTCTCACATGACTCAGGCATGGCAACGAATGGAATCGCCTCCCCTTTGACGCTCAGACTATCCTTTAGAAGAGATAGTACGATCGAAAAAAGATTTCACACCCTTAATAAATGAGATGTTAATCTGTAAATACAGCATTGTACCCCTTAGCAGATGAAACAAAAGCACACGCACGCACGCATACATTCAAGACATAGAATCGATTTACCTTCTTATCTACTACTATTATAATCCTTCGTTGTTAAGAAAGATAAGGGAGGTAAGAAAAAGTTGATATTCGTCGGAACTAAAAATAGCAAGCTCTAAAGTGCATTTACACCAACATGTGAGGAGAACTATTGAACATGGGATAAAACAAAAAAAATTATGTGATGAAAGCAGAGTCGTTGAATCCCTATGCTTAAAAAACGACTAACAGCGTATGTCTAGGCATATCATATTAAAAATTCTGAAGCACACTTGGATATTGGCTTTACCTTCGACGATCGGTTAATCAGCTTCTTTTTAGAAGAACGTGTGGCTACGGTGACACCTTTTCTTCCCTGCGGCTCTTCCTTATTAATCGACTTTAACACCTCTCCATCAGACGCGGCCACAAGCGGCGCAGCGAATCGATCAGAAGCCGTATGAACGCCAATACTCTTTGAAGTTCGCTGCGAAGTCCACCTCTGTGACCCTGATGCCACAATATTCTCACTCCATTGAGTAATAGCGCCACTGAGTGTTCCTTCTAGTCTGGACCCCTCTGCGTCCCCTGCTGACTGTGACAACTTGACGCCAGCGCCATCCTCATCTTCAGGGGAAGACAATTTGATTTTAGTAGCTCCCCAAAAATTTTTAAGCGCCAGAGCTTGCCCATCTGTCTTGCTGCGAGATCTTCGAGAACTGGCGCCACCTAACGGCTTTCCGGAAGCAAAAAGGCCATCCCTAACCTCACCAACACCTTGGGAAATCTCCGTCAGCAACCCTACGCCCTTCAAACTCTCCTTGAGTTTAACGTCCCCCAGCACCACGTGGGAGTTGTCCCGCACATGGCTACGAAGTTTGGGAAGAATAGTAGCAGCCCAGGATTCTACTGCAGCCACCCACTCCCCCATAGATTCCTTTTCATCAGGGAGATCCGGCGTGACAGTACGGCGCAGCTTGTGTAAAGCAACCAAAACTTCGACTGCGGCGCTGGTCTCGGTAGTGGGGTAGCCTTTCTGAAGCTGCAACACATTTGAGTCCGCCAGCACGGCCAGCATCGCCCACTGTCCCATGCTTAGCTCCACAGGCGGATCAAACATTGCTAGAGTCGTGATGACAAGATACAGCTGAAGTCCAATAAAGCGATTTGGATTCGCACTGGTGGCGTAAAATTTGGGAACAGTGCCCTGCGCTGTCAAGTTGGTCAGGAAATGGATGGAGATCCGAGCGAATGCATCTCTTAGTTCTACATCACAAAGAGGATGCACGATACCTGTGTGAACAGCATCAACCGCTGGTTTATCGTGCTGCACCGCCTGCAAGGAATTATCAGGGTCTAGGCTCTCCCTAAGGCTCGCTCCCCTCCAGTTCTTTGAATTCTCTCGGTGTTGAGTAGCACTTGCGTGTAAGAGGTGAATTACCGTTGCGGTCATAGAAATGAACTGATCATCTTGTAAGTGATGTGGCCAAGCACCTGATATTGGTAGGTCACTGTTGTCAGTTTGAGTAAATGTATTTGCGATACAATCTCTTTTTGAGGACTCTTCTCGCGCTCGTATTTCTCCCAAGAGAACACCGTAACTTGCTGTGATAAGTGCGGTGTGGTTGAAATTCAGTGCCCGCAACGAGCTCAAGGTGCTGGTAAGCTCTTGGGGCTTAAACGAAGACAAGATCGCAACTGCGCGGTCGCAGAATGGCCCACTGATATCTTGATGTCTCGCGACATGCAGTTTAACAAAGCTGTAAAGCGACAAGGTTATGTCGCGCGGCGTGACCTGACTAGTGGATATTTTCAGTCGAGCCAGCACCTGCTGAACTACCCGAATAACCCCTTTCAACACAAAGGTAAGGGTATACAGTACCTCGCAGAGGTCGTGCACCGACGCCCGCGCGCGGCTGACAGGTGAAACAGCGTTTAGCAAATGCTCAGTTGTGGAGGAAAAGAAATCTATGTCACGAAAGCCCAAAAATACTAAGCTATGCATAAAGCGTACCAACTCCTCTGGTTCAATCGCGCTGCGTTGGGATTGAATGAACCGCACAATTCCGGTCACGAGGTGGCTGCTCCTCGTTTGCGTGCGCGTCATCGCCTCTAGAAGTTTTCTTACCTCTGGTACTGTGAGTTGGTGGCTCCATTTTTTATGTAACGCGATAAGGCGGAAAAGGTTCGGCAGCAGCTCAGTGCAGGCACTAGGGTGCACAGAAAGCAATGCTGCAAGCTCAATCTGCGTTCTACGTGGAGTGTTGGCTACTGCGACCGAAAGCACAGGTAAGTATTGATTTAGCACCTCGTGGCCTCCGTAAGAACCAAGGGCGACGAGAACTGAGGTAAGCAGACGCAGTCGTTCGGGGCTCTCACTCGCTGATATGTCCTTCGCGCGACTGATATGCTCAATAAGTGCCTTGTAAAAAATAGAGGGTGGTTTGGTGCCAGCGGGAAGGTGATTCAATGTATTATAAGCGATAGAAAGGAGGCGGTTGCGGCACATATCAGGAAAAGGAGCCTGTGCAAGAGAATCCAACATGGCGCTTATCCGATTTGAAGTATCACCATGGAATAGAAGCTGATCTTGAAAATCCAGCAAAGCATGAATACACTGAGATACACAGTGAAATTCAGATGTACTAAGCATCAATGCCGACGATACCTCCTTGCTCTTGGATAGCAAGGGGTCTTGTGAAATTGCGTCTTGATCAAGCTTGTCAGGGAAATAAAGCTGCTCTAGACGACGGACCGCAGCTTCGACCATGTCAGAATGCATCACACTCTTTGTCTCGCACCGCTGAATGAGCTCCAGCAACTCTTGCGCGCTAACCTCGCTGAAGGTGCGGGAAGCCGTCTCCACAAAGCTCTCTGGCACAATGGAATGGTCATGCTTACTACCTTGCCGTTCAAGCGCGTTGACAGAAGATGGTCTTGCGTTTGTGCTCATTCGATCACGCATTTTGGTACCGTACCTACTTTTGTTGTTACTCCCACCAACTGCCCGCACCTTCGCGGCTGCGACTGCCAGTCCAGTGCTGAACCCGTCCGCATATCTCCCTGAACTAGCTGATAACAGTGATACGACTGGCTGCCCGAGCTCCTTGTAGTACGTGATCACCCGCTGCAATAGCTCGGCAGGCATGAAAGAAGCGGGCTGACGAGCGATGTGACTCTCTGCAGCGACAAAAAAGTCTGGATAGTAAGTTAACCCCTCTAGGTAAAAGAGCTCGATGATTCGAAACAGCTCCTTGCCGTCAAAGCTATCAAGAAAACGGACGCAGTGCTCGGCTACCAGGCTCCACACCTCCTCTTGGTGTACATCTACCCTTTGAAGAGACTCCATAAGAAGAATAATGCCTGAACCCCCATGCACCAGACACCTGTCAGGGACTGTAAAAGTGTTTCCCGCCATATTCACATAAGTGGTGGTAGCTGCACAAGGTAAAGTCAGATCAGATGCGGCGAGGTCGCTCTCTGGACCACTTCTAAGCGCAGCTGCCAACAAAGCAATAGCCGGGCCAGACGTATCATGCTGGCCAAGAGCACAAGACGCCGCGAGAGTCTTGGAGAGGTAAAGACTATTCATGCTGGGCAAGCACGACCGCACCAGCTGCATAGCATCCGTCGTGACCTTGTCTTTCCCAAGTTCAAAGTAAGCTAAGCATTCTAGAAGTTGGCAGAGCGCCGAAGGGTCGGGCACGCAGGATGTATCCCACCAGTGTCCACTCCTCGACCGTGTAGGTGTTAGCTGCTGCTCTGTGCAGCTCTTAAGGTCCTGCAGTGCCGGTTTCAGATTCAATCTGCATAGTTTATCCTTAATAATTATGCCGAGGGAGTGGTCAGGCACAATCGCATGAAGCCGCTTCAAGTGAAAAATGTCGTGAATCGCACGACTAAGCATTTAGAGCACCAATGAATAAAGTATCCTCGTAATATCAATGCTAATATCACATGCCCCCATGTAATATCCTTCCTCACCCATCAAATGCGTCTATAACAGTTTGTATGAAAAAAGGTATGATCTTTAACGATAATTTTTTTCCCTTTAGAAGAAAATTTTATTCAATAATAATAATAAACTATAGTCAGTGAAAAGGAGAAATGGATAGAACAATAAGGTATGGTGTTACCAGGCTATTACCATCCACGCACATTGCTAGAAAGAACAGTCATCGTTGTCTCTCGCAATAGTACATACCGCTCCATATTGAAAACTGAAATTTTTCTACTCTCCTCACAGGCTTCACTGACAACTACAAAACACCTTTAGTAGATGAAGTCAAGGAAAATAAATTGTTCAAGGCTTTCCTTTCCGCTTAGAAAAACTACAGTGTATTAAATAACAGTACTAAAATCGAAAGGATTGATTACTGTATAATGGCGAACAACCTCATACGACTACCAATAAATCCTAATGGCCGATACGCTCATATAAACTTATAAATGAAACCTATTTGTAATCCTCCTTATGGAATTCATTTTAAAAAATACAGAAGATTGTATGAGGAAAAAGAATACTTGAACCAGTCCAGACTCACTTGTGAAGAAATAAGAACAATGAAAGAACCATCAAGAAGCAAAAAAAGTCTATGAAAGTTGTTGTTTTGGGAACACATACTTTTTGTAACTCGCCACATTCCTCATTTCACATACCCCTTTCCCTATACCAATTTATGAGAAAACAGCATATTTACTTGGTTATCCCTATTATTCCTCGATGGTTGCTGTTTTAATTGCGTGCACAAAATTCATGGAATTATAAATAAATCTGAAACTGACTATTTAAAAAAAATGATAGTACATGACCTCACGTCGAGGATTTACTTTAGGTGTACATATATATGTATTTGCATACACATATACTCTCAAATCTAAGAGCATCTAAAAATCTAACAATAATGTCATATCATATTTTATAGGTGGACCACACCCAAGAAACAAAAAAACAAGAAAGGCTTCGATGCATTATCCAACCACATCTCTACTCGTTGTAATCATTGAGTAGGAAGTTGATTGGGCATCATAAGCTTTGAGACCTCACCATGACGGGTGCTGTTGTACTTCCGCCGCACCGCCTGATACTTTGTGGTGGGCACGTAACTCACAAAATCGAGTATTACCTCCGCGCAACCGGAAAAGTCGCTCAACTCTGACTTGGTGTAGTCCTGCAATGCCAGGCTCCATAAACGCCTGCCGCCGCCACTGCTGCTTTTCACGTCCGCACTGTATTTCATGTGCAGCGTGACTAATGCCAGAAATACAGCCGCGTTGCCGATCTGTGACGGAGTGAACTGCAGACACTTGTAGTCCAGAAGCGCGTGCTCCAGAAAGAATCCTGTGGTGTGGCGAAGCAAGTTGAATTGCTGCTGCCGCGTCTCCTCGTCAGAATTGAGGCCCAGAAAATCCTCCTCTTTCAGCAAAGTCAGCAGACGCGATGCAAACGGATAGGGTGTGGGAACGGTTAGACGGAACGAGAGCGCCGCGCAAATGTTGCGCTCCATCTTAATGATCTCCTCTCGCGTGTAGGTGTTGGCGCTGATATGGACACACTCCTTCAGCTCCGGAGGCCATATCTCCTCGTATTTTGCTGCCAACAGCATTGCACACACACCCACAAGCTGTAGTTGGGAACGTGGTACGTATGACAATGCGTTGTACTTTGTGTTGATGCAAGACAGGTAACGATCGATCAGATTAACTGCCAGAAACATCGTCTCAGGGTGCAGCTTGAACTTAAGGTGCACATCAATCAGCCAGTCAATGAGAATCATACGCATCTTCTCATTGACCTCCGGCTGGTACTGCAGACAGTGCGGTGACGCGTAGTACGCATACAGTTGGCTCGCATTACTCACTTGAGCGGTGGTGCCCTCGTTAAAACGGCGCACGGCCTGTCGCTCGCGATCCAGAAACATTTCTGTGATATCGTCGATCAACTCAGTGCAGTAAATTGGTTCCCGCGCATGGCGCGCATCAGCGCTGAAATGAACAAGAGACGGAGGCGACGCCACCGACTGTGTGGGCTCGGCGGTTGAGTTACTATCCGACGCATGGAGGTGTGTACGCGATGGGCATACGCGGAGTGGCGCTCCAGAGCGCTGTAGACTGCGATAGGTTCCTAGATTAAGGATGCTTGTGGATATAAGACGATTTGCCTGTCGCTGCTTCACGTCTATAGATGCCTGGTTCGTCAGATTGGATACTTCTCGAAGGGCAGACATTTAGCCTTGCTATATATTTTCTGTAGTGTATTATAAATTATATATATATATCTGTGTGTGTGTGTGTGTGTGTGTGTGTGTGTGTGTGTGTGTGTGTGTTTGTGCTAGTTA